AAAAAAAAAAGAAAAGAAAAGCAATATGCAAAAGAAAAGAAACGCGACAGAGAATCGAGAATAGCATATAATTTCCGTTGAGGTCTTGAGAGATTATTGAGAAAGCTTTGCTGACAGTTACGCCGTATAATTGATTTTTATTAAATGATATGTCCGATTTTCGAGGTGAATAATGTAGAGTGACGTAATCATATGTATATATACGTGGACTCTATATCTCACGCGACAAAGCTCGAAAAAGTCAACGCGTACAAGTGCCAGTCGAATCTCAAGAAAGAAAGGGATAATCTAAGAAAAAGTTTCTATTAAAAAAGTGCTGGAAAAAAAAGGGAAAAAGTGTCAGTTTTCTCGTAGGTACGAAACGAGTCCGAGGAAAGAAACGTACGGTTTCACGACATTCTATCGTGTTACATAAATAGAACGAGGCTACGTCATAGCGCGGGGTGAGACCGTTATTGGTCGCGGGGAGAGGAGGAAACGGCTTCCGTTGCTCCGATTGGTCGGTCGCGTGGGTGGGGCATGCGCACCGCGGTTGCGCAGCGGATATTCGGGGCTAGTCTGACGAGTGAGAAGAACCGTTCGTTTGTAAGAAGGACTCGTATCTGCGCCTGCATTTTTTGAGAATTCTAACGAGCGACCATCCCAATTTTTGCGTCTCGCACATCAGCTTTTCTAGCGAAAGAGCACGAGATAATTGTAATTACGCAATCATAATCCATGTAGAACGCAATCCAGGCACGGAAATTCTCTCGCGTAATCGCACGATCCGGGTCATCTCCGATTACATTATACGGCTCGATGAAAATTGCGTGGTACCATATGTAAGCGAGGGATCGGGGGGTTTAACCATGTAGAATAGGTACATCGTACGTATTAGACGATCGAGATTCCGAAAAAAAGGAAAAAAACCAAGCCATTTTTTTCGAGTCACCATCGTTCGTCCTTCGGTAAATTCGTGCGAATCTGTGAGAATCCGTTCAACAATATGGCGTGAAGAGTGCGTCGGTTACCCGAGCCGTACATAGTCATCAAGTATTTTATATTTCGTTGCAGATACGCGCGATGAATATGTACCTGGTCCCGAAGATGCTCTGAAACATTTTAAATCTCAACAAAATGGTGAGTAGCATATTTTTTTAAATATAAATTGCAAATTTTTCTATCTGCGAATATATCGTGAGCAACGATGGCGCCACCTAGTAGATTTGGCGATTGCGAGAGATCAATAACCTTTGCTCCTTTCGTGTGTGCGTGACCTCGTATTCTATTTTTGTTCTTACGTATCCGTATAATTACAACGTACGAGATTATTCAGTTCACCGTTGTCGTCTGTATATAATGTTCTATGAATTTTTATCATTAAATATATAATTGGTAAATATAGAAAATAATTATAAGTGAAATAATATAATATAATTATAAGTGGGAATATATAGCAAAAGAAAAGTTACGAATTTTATGCATGAATAGTCTATGTAAAATTATTTTTATATTTAATAGTAAATATGAATAAAAGAGAAAGAGATAATGACTTTTAAGGAACATATGAAATTTGAAAAATTGATTCTTTTATTAATGTCAACAATATTTACATCTAATAGCTAAATATCTTTATTCAAATTTATCCAAATAATCTCGTTCAAATAGCCTGTATAATATTCAAGAAATTCGCATATACTTCGCTATATTGTTAGTCATGACTAATAGTCAAGAGTATCCAGTTACCTGGATATTTTCTCAAATGTTCTAGTTTTGATAGAATTTTCTATTTACTAATTTACTTAATTTTTTTAAATTTACATTTGATATATTAATAATATAATATAATTATTTTAATAAAAATTTGTATTAAATTTATCTGTAGAAATATTCTAATTTTGTCTGGAAATATTAATGAAAAAGTCTGAAATCAGATAACTCACAAGAAATTTTTTTCAAAAATTGAACATGTATATTTTTATATTTTGTTTAATATTTTCTTGTTATTAAATTTTAAATTTGTAAGCATAATTTATATTTTTATATGATGATTGCATTAATAATGTTTTGTTTTTTTTCTTAAATTGTATTTTCAGCCACGTATAGACCCCCTATCTTTACTTAAATGCCTTAGCGTTTTATTGGGTCCAACAGGAGGCATTAAGAGTAAGGAGGAAGTTCATCGCTTAGCTAATTTAATGACGAAGTTTTCTAAGAAACTCGTCTCGAAATGCATTTATATACAGATATTGAAAACTACTAATACGGATTTGCTTAGTCAGTAAGTACTTAAATCTATGCAAATAATATTAAAATAGTTATTTAACTTTTTTTAAAAATATTTTATTCTATTCGTCTTTATGATACTAATAGAGCAATTGTGTAAAAGAAATTTGTCATTTGGCATGTAAAGACATACAAGTATATGTAATTCATATACCTGTATGAAAAGAAAATATAGAACATGCAAGAGTAAATATAAAAGGTTCAGAACCATTAGATGGTACTTATTAATGTGCCATTTTTACTGATACGAGCCTTACATCAATTTTTTTCAACAACTTATCTGGTACAAGTATAGAATTGTACACATTGTTGAGTCTTTTTAATAGATTGATTTTAGTGATTCTGTATTACAAATATATATGCAACTATAAATATTTCATTATTATTCTATTATTATTTATTTTCATTATTACAATATTTAATATCTGTGAAATATTAATCTATGTATGTGTATCCATAAAAATAGTTTTAAGGCTTAATTATTACAGATTATTGTCTTTAGAACACACACATTGCTTTTATATGGCATTTTATGATAGGAATTAAAATTAGAAATAGAATATAATGGGAGATACTATAATTATTTTATTATTCACAATAATATAATTATACTATCTTATCTTTTGTTATTTATAATAATAACATAATATTTTACATTTTATAATTTCTATTTTTGTAGATTTATGAGTGCTGGAGGATGGAATCTTATTCACACATGGCTCACTGATGGCATTCTTGCCAAGAATTGGGCTCTTATTCAAGAACTTCTGGAACTTTTGCTGCTCTGTCCTGTAGATATTGAACGGCTGAAGAGTAACAATTGTCCAAAACTGATTAAAGGTTTATCAAAGGAAGGCAGCCATCAAGGTGTACGAACATTGGCTACTCGACTTGTGGAGCAGTGGCTAAAAATTGTGAAAGGAGAAGCAGCGCCGAATTCGGTGCCAGCTCAAATCATGACTGTTTCAGTGCAATCGAATACTACTGCAGGACAAATCGCAGTTATTCCTTCATCGCAGCCGCAACATTACTTGTTAAATTCTCAACAAACTCTTGACATTGCTGAAAATGCAACTGTTCATGTTCAAGACTTCAAAATTGCGCAATCATCTACCGCTAGTATTCCAGTAAATCAGATCCAGCAAGATCAAGAAAAGCAACAACAAGAAAGGCTACAGTCGCAAACGGTGCAAGTTATTGGCAAAGGCCAGCAAGTAACGCAACAACAAGGTAAAAAGCAATCTTTTGTTGTTGTATCAACGTCTTCGCAGTCATCAGTTCCTGTTTATAAGATTACCATTCGCGATGGTAATCAAGTCCTTGCCAAGGTGGAAACGGACGTCACGAATATAAATAGTGTTCTAAGCAAATCTGGTACGAGTACAGAAGTAGTTATAAACACTGTGGACGCTACGCTTCCTGCTTTACAGGAAGCAAAGCAAGAAACGGAGGAGGTAAAGGAGACAGGACAAAGTGGTAGTGCGACTAGTGGTCAAGACGAAACAGTAGACATTGGACAATCAGACAATTCAGGACATGTTCCTAGTGATGTGAAACAGACCGTAGTTAGTTCTAAAGACAATCAAGATATTGAAGGTGCTAAAAGTAAAGATAATAAAGACTCTAAGGATATTATTGTTAGTAGTGATAGCGGTAAGTCTAGTGATAAGGAAAATAGAGACTCTCATAAAAAAGATGATAAGAAGTCCAGTTCTGATAAGAAAAGCAGCACTCATCATCACGGTTCGTCTTCGTCTAAAAGTTCTTCTAAGCACAGCGCGAGTTCCAGTACACATCGCAGCAACTCGACATCCCATAGATCGAGTAGTCATCGCTCTGGTTCCAGTAGTAATAGTTCCAAAACCTCCAACTCTAGTAAAGATAAGTCTTCCAAGGAAAAGGACAAGCATCACTCCAGTTCATCCAGTAAGCACAGTTCAAGTAAGAGTAAATCTGAGCGAGACAAGGAACGGGAGAAGGAGAAGCAGAAAAAGGATCAGGCGGAGAAGGATAAGGCGACTTTAGAAAAAGTGCAAGGTCAAGCGTTGAGTTCCAAGTTGGGCAAAATACCGAAGAAACGAACGGAGGATGATACAAATGGAAGAAAGTCCTCGACTGAGTCGCGAGATGGTACGAAAGAAAATAAAGAGAAAGTAGACAGTAGTAAAAAAGACACTGTTACAAAGCTCACTACCGAGAAGAAGAATATATCCATCTCCATTGAGAATAGAAAAAATAGCCAGGATTCCGCGACACGGCCGAAAACGGTGAAGACATTTAATTCAAAGTTTAGATCCACGGGACTAGAGGAAGAAGTAAAACCACCACCACCGAGATCGAAGAAGCCAAATCCTGCCGTTGATAAGAAAGTTCTACCTCCGAAATTTCCCTTGAAGAGGCCATCGCCATTGAGAGAAACCATTCCATTGGTGGAAAAACGGGTGAAACTATCACTGGATTCGCCAACGACACCACCAAGCGATGAGAAGAAGGGAGGGATTAAACTGATACCACCAAAACCAAAACGTAAGTATTCTGATATTCTATTACAAACTATATATAAAATTTCGTTATTAATACCTGATCTCTATTATATGTAATATTTTTCTTTACTTAATATTTTTAATCCAGATATAAACATTACGCTAATGTCCTCAGATAAAGCAGTCTATAATTTCAGTCAGAAATTATGCTATGTATACTAAAACTAAATTCATCAAATTTTACATGATAACATTTAAAATGTAATATTGAAAAGAATTAAAATTTTGGAGACATCTTTATATTAAATGCAATTTTAAAGAAACATTCAATACATACATACATGTATGTTTACAAAAAAAGAATACAAATATTCTAATGAAAAGAAATGCTCTAAATTTATAAATTAACAAATTAATAAATTTTAATATTTAAAGTATTTATATTCTTTTTTTAAACACGTGTGTATTTTTTAAAATTAGATATACCCTCAGTTAAATTTAAGTAACTCACGTAAATTTAACTAATATTTCAATAAAACATTATTTATTTTGTAACACATTTTTTTACAGATATATTATTTATAGTATTTAGTATACATACATGCATTTTTATATATATTATGTATTTCTTTATAATAATACGTAATATGATTTTTCTGTCTATATTATTTTGTTATATAAGATTTAAAAGTCTTATTTGTTGATGGAATAATAATGATTAAACAAATGACTGCTTAAGCTTTGTACATTGGTATGCTGCATTATATATGACTAAACTAACTCTGTAATATTGAGTTTGCAGATGGATGTTACCAGAAGATATACAAGCTGCTCCGATATTTAATGCGATATCTTTATGTATCGCGAATATTATCGATAGTCTCAATGACTTTTTGGTATTGTCACATCAAATATTTATTTTTGCCTATGTATTTTAAACTTATTGTTTCTTCCAGGCAATATCCCGTAGTGTAATACCTCTTAATAGTACATCCTCTCTACTTCCCCAAAAAAATTATTATTAGCGTCTTGTAGAAGATATAATAAGCCGTGTAACGATTTATCCATCGTACTGCATGGAGAATTAGCAGCTCTTGTACGGATCATCCGTCTACGAAAATTAACATCTTTCATTAGAAGAACGAAGCCATTAGGATCTGCACTCGACTACGAACTTTTTCGTATATTAAGAATCTTCGATAGCAGGTAATCTTCGATAAAGTATTCATTACAACGCGTGAACCGCGATTTTTCCAATCGATATTCGACAAAGGAATTAAAAAAACACATAGTTTCTTGTTGAACAAAGATAGTCGAAAAGTGTTTTATCGATACTCACTGATAGCGGGCATGTGTTCTTAATCTCCGATATTAGTGACACAACGATTACGAAGCCACCATACAGGAATAGTTCTAATCTCTAACTAGGTAAGGCAACAAAGTCTTGTCTATTCATACGTTTTCCCTTGTACATGTATATATCCTATTTAAACATTTAAATAAATTTATCAGAAATCTGGAATATTTAACTCTTGGGTTTCTGCTATACTACATATCTTGCTCGCTGTTAAATGCTTTTAAGACAAAATAATCGTATATATACCGTGAGCCCATCCAGATTTCCATCCTCTCGGCGATTTTTAATGTTAGAACATGTACAACGCGTTGATTAATTAGTTTCAGTAATACTGAAATTTTGAAATTTGCGTCGCTCTTCAAAATTAAGTTTAAATGAAAATAGAAAATCTGAAATTTTTTTATTTGCATTAAAAAATCGTATCGATTTGATATCGACTCGTAAATTTGTTGCCAATAAAATACGAATACACATTCAAGGCCTGTGGATAAAATGGAATTTTCATTCATTATATGACCTTTTGTACGTACATGACAAATGAAATGTTTGCACATTTATTAGAGAGAATTGAAATTTGTGTGGGGCAAATTATTCCAACACCTTTAATAGAGAAAAAGAGAGAAAGGGAGAGAGCGAACGAGAGAGAGAAAGAGGGAGAGAAAGAGAGAGGGTGAAAGGAATAGTTAAAGAAAGAAGAAAAGGTCGGTGATAAATTAGAGAAAATATTGTGAGAATACATATTTTCTAACACACTGAACGATGCGTGGAGACCCTATGGATTGAAAGTAGCACTAAAAGTGCACGATTTCTGAAGCTGCATATCCGACGTCTTCGAGCAAGAAAGCCTTTAGGACCAGCAGGCTCCCTTTACAACGTCTGATTCGTCGAGCTTGGTGAAGAGAACCTTCTTTTTTGCCAATAATTACGTTAGATAACTGAAGAGAAAGATAGAGAAAGAAAAAGCTAGGTATTAGAAAACTGCTAGCTAGGATAGAAACAAAAATAGAAAGGGAAAGGGACGAAGTTAGTTGTGCCAAATTTTGAAGCTTGAGCGCAGCGGTTTTTTTTTCTTTTTTTAAATTTTATTACGGCAACAATACCATAAAATTTTCAAAAAGAGAGAGAGAGAGAGACTAGTTATTACAAAATTTTAAATGGCGACAGAATTATCTCAACGTTGCAACAATAATGGCATTCGTTTTGGAGGGAAAAACGTATATATATATATATACATATTTACAAAAATTTCAACAGTTCAAACAGTATCATCAAAACGTATTATTCGAATGAATCGAGAGCTCGTTTTGCGAACAAATTATCGCAATCATAATTTCTGTGCTCTTGCTAGAAATTTTGGTGCAACAGTCGCGTATGAATAGTCTCGTCCATTTAAAGAAAGCTTCGGAAATTACGTAAGATTTCGCAATACACAAAAGACAAAAATAAAAAAGAATGGAAACAGACAAAATCTATAAATCGGAATCGTTTTCAACGTGTTCGAATCCGACACGTGTAATCGGAGAATTGCAAGTCGCGCGACGCATGCACGGAGCTGATGTTTTTGCGACTGTCTTACATCGACGCACGTGTCCCGTTGCCCGTATAACTGCCGCAGTCGACGTCGCGCGCTTCTACCGACACTTATTAACCATTCGACGCACATCAACCCGCGACACGACTCGCACACTTGATATCTCTTTGCGCGGCGTCTACGTCGCGAAATTCATCCGATATCTCTACGAGGATGAAAAATATTCTATCTGAAAGCATGCAAATATATACGCATGATGTTTAATTACATTAGTTTCACGATTATTACGTTACGTTTTTTACATAATTCCAAAGCGTGCAAAAGAACGTAATTTAAAATCATACCTATACATATATGTATGCATTAAGAAGATATCCTAGGATATAATTAATCAAATCTGATGATATAATTAATGAGTATTATTAAATTTAAACTTATAAAACATATCAAAATTATAAATATAAAAAAATAATAAATTTTACTTAATAAAATTTATTTACATATAATCTAGAATAGTAAAATCATATTTTTAACGCAAAATATAACATTCTTTTCATATTAAAAAAATTCATACTCAAAATTATTTATATAAATTTATTTTTCCCATTATATCTTAATGAATTTTAAATTAATCTAATTAAATAATTCTAAAACACAAAATATTTGTATACAATCAGGTAGAATATTTTTATTCTCTTACATTGGATACATTTTATATTGTAAATTATACTGTGTGAATTAGCATTAATAAACAAACAATAACACATGAATAATAAATCATCTAATAATAAATATATTTCAAAACTGCTGCCTCATTTGACATATATCAATTAGTTGGCAAGATATTTAATTACAGATCATAAAGTCTGATGTTGCTATTCGGAACGCATGTTTAAATTTATTTCTGGAATATGACAAAAACTTCTATCAAACATAGAAAATTTAATATAATGATAAAATATTTTCATAATATTATTTGCATTGGTTATTTAATAAAATGTAATTGTTATTCCCGTACAGATAAACATACAGATAAAACTATTTCTATTTATATTTTGGAATTGATTTTTAAATACTGCAAAGCTTTCATCGCGCGTGCGATTGCAATCTGTAAACAGAAATCATCTCTATAATATATTAATCGAAATTTATTAAAGTAAATTTATTATGTATTGTCACATTTACCAATTTATATCCATTTTTATAAGTTATAACGAGTTTATAATTTATATAATTATAACGATTGAACGGATAAGATATGATAGATAATGTAATGTTTGTACATTTTCGAATTATTAATTTAATGAGATATATGTGTGTGTGTGTGTGTGTGTGTGTGTATCTGTGTGTGCCTGTGTGTGTATATGTGTGCTGTGTGTGTGTGTGTGTGTATATATATATATATACGAGAAAAAGAGTAATAACTTATTTTTAACGTATATATGTATATTAACATACACGTGGAAATCTCGCCAGTTTCTTTTTTCGGGAGATTAGAATAGTTTATCGTTGTATCGTATACATAGTGTTGTATCGTATACAAGTTAATAACGTAGCTTTATACATCTGTTATTAACAATCGCACATGAATTTATATATGTTAAAGGCAAACTTACGAGATCTGGTTTCAATGTCGTATCGTCAAATAATTTCTGATAAATACAAGGCAAATATATTAAAAACTGAAGGTCCAGAACAGTTTTATGCGCTATATTATTAAAAGTTGCAACAATCATCTGTTCAGAGAATAGATAAATATCATGTTTTTTATTTCTTTCCACAGATTATTTCTCTGTAGAAATAAAAAAAATGGACTGTATAATACAACCCGTATACTCTTCCTTAATTTTGTAAAAATTATTTTTTTATCGGGTTTATATTATATCAATGTTGTCAGAGCACGGCCTATTAGAATATCTATCTGTTATTTGGATTTACACGGATATAAGTTAGGTACCTAGATAGTATGCAAATATTGACAAATGTTTAACAACATTATTTTAGTATCCTTTAAGTTTAAAGAAGCTTGAAAATAGCTATTTTTAATATGAATTATATTTTATTTGTAGTTTGTTATAAATTAAAGCGTTTCCGTATTATTTGTAAGATGGGACTACAGTTCTATATGATAAAGAGCTTTTATACATGATGGACGATGATGATACGTTATGTTTTATGTTGATTGTTAAATATTTTTTGAAATTCTTATTTTTAACATTATTTTTTGTGTTAAATCGCACAATTTTAAAGAAAGGCGCGATATTTTTTAAATTATATTTAAATAATAATATTTTTCTGTATCTCTATTTTCTCGAATTGCATCCTCGTATTATAAAGTCACAGACAAAGATTATCAAAATTTCATTCGGCATTAGAATAATTCGAGTTTATTTTTTCTTTGCAGAGCAATTCAATGTATAATTGATGTATATCTGTCAATTATAAATTATTTTTATTTTTTTGCCTATATAATTATTTTTTTGCCTATAATTTTCTTTGTCCTATAATTATTTCATACAGAAATGTACACGCAATTGCATTTATATAATTTTTATGCAGTAATGGAATAAATGTAAAAATTATACACACACGTATATTTTTTCATAAAAAATATAATTATTTGAAATAATGCCTATGATATTTATCTTATACATCTCTATATTATACTAATAATGATTCGAAGTAATACATATTTTTGTGTAAAAGAATAATATAGTTTTAATTTTTTATATGTATATATCGTAATATATTAAATTAATCCACAGAAATTTATTTTAACAGTTTAACAATAAGTGTATATATTTATGATATTTTAGAATATAGCTAATTTATTTGGTATATATATTGAAGAGAGATTTGTTTCTATATATTTAATATTATTCGCTTCTTCTTTATTCCATCATTATATTATTATATATAAAAGCATTTTTTAATATATTATTCAAAGTATAATAAGATTAAATATATATATTATTCAAAGTATAATAAGATTAAAATTTGCTATTCAGAGAAACACATTTGTTTTTTCTCGTTATTTTCGTTCTGTCTCAAATATAAGTATTAAATTTAAAACGTTACATAGAGAATAATGTTTTAATTAATAATTTATTGCTTCTAAAGATATAAGCTTAATGATACATAATATTAATAATTAGAGTTGTCTGTAATTATATCAATTTTATATAATTATTTTTAAATTCTAAGCCATTACATATTTTAATTTATATTTATGTTACACCTATATATATATATCTATCCCTGACAGCCCATGTATCACTAAAACATTTAAGTAATATTACCATCATTATCAACAAATATTCTTAATTTTTAGATATATTATTTTAATATATATATATTCTTATTTAATTTCTTTATTATGTTTAAATTATTTTATGTTATGATTTAAGCAGGAATAATTGTTGCAGGACACGCAATACAGTAACCCTTTATAAAATTTACTAGCTTAAATTTAAATTTTTTCTTTATTACAGGGTATATTGAACACAAAATTAACTTTATTGAGTTTATTCTAGCAGACAAGTTTTTTTATCGCTATTATAGAAGATGTCCATGTTTACAGATGTAAGAAGCTTACTAAGAAGCAGCTACTGAAAAATGCAAAATATTTTTTACTTTTCAGATACATACTGTTTACCAATAAAGTAATCAACGAATTGTCTTACAATGTTGCGATTATTAACAATCTTTATGTGGCAGTATCTATTCAAGCCATATTTATTTACAGAACGGATCGAGTGCGAAACGAAATTGCTATTTAGAAATATAACATAAACATTTAACAATTATGTAAAGCATGTTTTCCTGAGCATAAATTTTATATATAGGAGTAAATTCGGCGCGCAAATATAATATAAACATAATCTTTATAGGAATATATTGAAAAACACCATCATTGTTAAAATTATCAAAAACATAATTATTTAATGACATAAATGGCTGTAATTCAGAAATTAGATAAAAAAATCAAATAGAACGTATGTCAATTTCTATTATCTTCGCGCGCTGAATTCATTTGCAAAGTTATGCCTCTGTGTTGGGAAAAATATCTCATTTATAAATGTTTAGGGGAGACACGATGAAACGTATTGCTGTTTTCCAGGATCTCATTATTTTCTCCGGAATTATTTTTAGGATATTCTATGAATTCTACACTATTGTTTTTTAGACTTTTCTATATTTTAATAATTTATTGTTCGATTTTAATGCCATAAATACTAATGTCTGAAAAACTACTGACATTTTTAAATATATATGTATATATATACATATATATACATATATATCTTTTTAATTATATGTAATGTGTCTATATAATGCAGCATATCTTGAAATATTATTATTTGTGCAAACTATTTTAAAATTTATTTTTAAGCCGGTTATTGCGAATTATTCGCGAGTGATATTTAATATTTTTGTTCTCAGCGATGGTGCTACAAGAGAGCGACATGTTCATGGACGCTCTCACCGCGTCTACCAAGAGCAAAGAACCGAGGAAGCGTAAGCGTAGGACTTCTATCACGAAGGACGGGTCTTCGGAAGCTAAAAAACAAGAAACCGCTAACGCCGATATTCGCGAGAGCACACCACCACCTGCTTCGCCTACAAATGCCGAAGAAAAATCGCCAGTTGCCCTCAAACCTAACTTCAAGGTAATTATATAGGATACATGTGCTCAGGATGTCGCTGCAAGAAAACTAATATCAAATTAATCGGAGTCGTACCAATTTAAGATTCATTTGTTCTTGCGCATTTTGTAAGGCACAATCGCATTAAATTTTGATAAGTGATTGGCGAATTTCTTTTTTATTATTATTTTAAATTCTAAGCTTCAAATTAAGTGTGCTAAAGCAGGGAGAGAGAAAATCGATTTGATTTTATTTTATTTAGAAACATATTTCTTATATATGGCATATGTATAACATGATTAATAATAAATTAATATTGTAAATTTTTTGTTTTATAGTTCTATCAAGATACTCTAGAAATAGAAGAAGACAAAGATCAAAGAGAAAAAGAAAATATCGAAGAAGACACGAAGAAAGATAAAGATCAGGCGCTTGATGACGAGAAAGATAGTAGAGACGAGGATGATATCAGAAGTAACAGTAAGTATCTTAATTTATCATACAGACAAAAGAGAAATAAACTAATTTGTTATTTGAAAACATCTCATTTAAAAAATGTACAAAACATATAAACAGTTATAAACTCACATACGCGTACCTATTTATCTTATTTATATAATGTTCTAATATATTTGTATTGCCCTAATATAATACTATTAACACAATTTTATATTACAAACATTCGTACACATATATATCATCATGTTGAAGTAAAATTAATTTTTTCTACATAATATATTTATAATAATATATTTAATAATTAAATTATTAATTATTTATAATAAAATTATAATAATTCATTTAAACAATATATTTATTTATTTATTTATCTTTTTCATAGCACCGACACCCGAGGAAGATGTGGAAGATATCAAAGATTCGGAATCACCAGAAGATGCTTCTTCAATGGTTTCGAACTCATTGAAGAAGGATGACGTTAGTCCTTATCCCGAAATACGATATGTAGATGGACTTAAAAGTGTTTTGCTACTTCAGAAACGTAAAGGACCGAAGAAGATTTTAAAGTGGAAGACAGATTTAGAATCCATACGTTATTTTGAATTGGATGAAACAGAAAGGGTTAATGTGACAAAAACATTCACCGACATGAAACAGATGGAAAAGCAAAACGAAAGGGAAGCATTCCAAATGGCCAGAAAATTAAGTACGTACACATGTGTAATTATATAAATATAATTTTTTTATTTATAATTATATAAAATATATATATCAAGTACACTCATATATTTGCAAATTATATTGCTATGTATATATATAACATTACAGTATTATTTTTTTTATTAGATAATGAGGATTTAATGGAAGAGAAAACAAGGTGGAAGCCTTTAATTCCTATTGATCAACCACCTCCATTAGTAGAACCTGGCAAGGATAGTAAAGAAAAGGATATTCAATATGCTCGCGAGAAGGGCATTCTTCAAGCGCTTTACTTTAATCGAAGCATGTAAGTATATGTTTGCAGTCAGTATTGTAGTATACTGATAACTCAGTATACTACAATACTTTTATTTTAATGAATGTTTTCATCTACATTACTTATATTCTGCGACAATAAAATGGAGAGAAATGTACTTTTATTTTGTGGTATTATGTTAAAATAAACATACGAATATTATTTATATAAAAGTATCATATAAAATATATATTTATTTAAGATTTTAGAGACATTAGAAATAAGGCAAAATAATGAATCTTGAATAATGAATATATGAATCTTGTCATCAGTTAATCAATAACTCCTAATTTCGAAATTGTGTTTTTTTAAATCGTAGGATCCCAGATTCTGCGGCTGAACCCGACGAAGAACGGCATCATGTGATGACCGATCCTAAAATAATACCGTTGGACGATCTCACAGGCAATAAGGAGAGCGAAAAGGACTTTACATCGGTACCGTGGCCAGAACCTAAGCCACAATTGACACCGCAACCACCGACCGTAACAACGTTCCATTATCCCACGACATTCTCGCACAATCAACAAACCATGATGACCCCTATGGGACCTCAATCGACGATAAGTCAGATGCCACAGATGCCTCAGCAGATGATGCCCCCATCGCATATAGCTCCCATGGCCCAGGAGATGCCGGGACCAACGATACCGGGCGGTGGCGGTGGTGGTTGGAGAACGGGCGATGGCAAGGTTCTCGTACCAGATGTTGGGATAAATCCAATGGCAAATATGCCGGGTAATTTCAATCAGGGAATGGAAGGTGGTCCGATGGTTCCGCCGGGAATGATGGGACCGCCGCCCATGTACAATCAACAGCAAGAGGGCTACGGCATGATGTGTCCAGAAGATATGGGATTCAACAATATGAATCCCAACTTTCAGGGACCGCCCGGACCGATGTATGGTCCAGGACCTAATTTTCCAGGTCCAAGAGGCGCCCCCATGCACAGTAGGGGCAGAGGAGGTCCCGGTTGGGGATATCGCGGAGCTGGACCCCCAAGGGGCGGTTGGCGAGGCGGTGGTGGTGGCTGGCGAGGAAGCGGTAAGCAGCCACCGGTGTGCAGACAGTTTTCGAAAAACGGTTATTGTCGGATCGGAGATAAATGTCAATATCTTCATCCCGGTGTGAACTGTCCGCCATTTTAAGAATGAAATTGAGAACGATATTTGTTAAATAATGAAATTGATCATTGGTACGCAATGAGTCTTCGATTAGGATAGATATCCGCGAGAGAAGAAAAAGTAGAGAGAAAGATGGGATCAGCCGTCAGCGTTACAATGATACACTGTATTATTCTAATGATCTTCCCTCGGGATATTCGATGACGATTCGCTTGGAAAGCAAATCCAAAAGTATACGCGCAATCAACGCGCAAACGTGTAAAAAAGTGATAATTCTCAATGTGCAATTTTATTTCCTTTTTTTGTAAGAATCCATTGCATGAATATATTAATAGATTTTTTCTATTTAATAATACTCCATGCGCTTGAAAGTTTTGTAAATATAATGGCATTTCTTCTTAACATAAGTATCTTACACAAATTTGTCGAATCATTCGAGTGCTGTCAATATTCATGGTATCATGATATTTCGGATATCCGAAATCTATCTGGTTATCTAAGTCTTTCGAGAATCTTACTCGGATATTACGTAATTTTATTTTAATATCTCAAGATAACCAGATATCAAGGAACATGGAATATTTTTCAATTAGTCAGATCGAATTTTTAATATATAAATACACATTACACACTATTATATTAATATTATATATTAGAAACCCGCGGATACTCGCGTAGTATCCGCGATTTTAGGTAATGGATGAGCATCCAATGTTTTATATTGACAGCACTATGCGATATCGTCGAGTATGAATGCGTTGTAAAATCGGATATGACCATGCTAGGTTCGGCTGCTGGACAGCAGAACATCTCTAGATTACATCTCGAAAATATAGATTTTTTGCTAGTATAATTTTATTTTGAATTTTCAAATTACTTTTATAATAACCATCACACTTGTATATATACCGTATACAAGATTTTCTTTTTGTTTGAATTTTCCACACGTGGCCACTGCCGAGATTACGATTCTTTATATTTTCCACAGGAGTCATGTGACTGTTAGAAAGAATCACAGAAAAATGAATTATATTTGTGACTGCACTTAGCATCATTCATGTTCTTGAAATTGAATTGTCTGGTATCATCATTGTTTTGTGCTTCAAACAATAGAATTTTGAAATATAGAAAGGGTATTGATAATAAATAATATTCGATATAACGTTGCATAATGAAACACCAAAAGTTTCAATAGGATAAACTACTTTTTATCATAATAATTTCCATGTGTGGGTTATACTTGTAAATATGTTTGCATAATATGTATAAAATACAATAATTCTAATAATGACAGACTGTTAGACTTAGTTGGTACACAATAATAGAGACAAGAACGGTAGTATTTAATAGGAGCCGTATACATGTCCTTTAAAAATAGGAAAGAAGTTCTATATATAATCAATCTGATATTATTCGAACCAATTTTTCCAAGAGATGTATAAAATCGAATAATACGATTCTTTATAATTCAACCCGTCATTGTAATATTATATTGCAAGTTTTTTACTATGTAAGATAATATTGATTATATCTTTTTGTATATGATTGATTGTTATGTTTGTATATAACGTGTTGTATAAAAGCGTCGCTTAATGAAAATATACCCATCACAATTATTTTTTCAAATGGCCCAATAATTTCATGAAGGCACTACAAAATATCCTTAATCGTGTAACTTCTCATATATCATATGTATCTCTCTCGATATCTTATATTAAGTATTAAACTGAAGTTCATATTCCATCTTTAATTTACCCTCTTATCTCTGCTAAATTATTAAATTTAAATGTAATTAAATTTAACAGTAAAATTAAATATATTTTTAACAAATTATGAACATTCTGTATGTAATGCGTGTTTCTAGGTAATACAATAATTATTATATATTTATATTTTCATTTTATTTATATATATATTTAGGTCTTCAGAAAAGAAAAAAAGAATTTGAAGACATTATTTAAATATAATTCATAATGTGGAATATACAAAACAAAAAATTGATGTTATAAAGATTAATTGGACATAAGAGTAAATGTCTAAAATTGAGCAATAAGATGTACAAAAAATCTCTATAAACATCAATAATTATTCCTTCTTAAATATGAATACTCAAATATGATTCATTTAAATTGTTGAGGTGGTGGTCCAAAGATACTGCCACTCTGCTTACTTGCAGTTCTGGATGGCGCAAAGCCAAGTATCTTCTGGATGTTCTAAAAATCAAAGGAATATATATAAAAAACATTGCACATAAGCTGGTATATATTAGATACATATATACATATATACATATATATATATATATATATATATGAGATTATGAGATTTACCTGTCTGATACTCATGGTACATAATATGTACAAAAATATAAAAGAGCATTCTGTATAATCATCACCCGGAAGATTTCTGTGCGACAAACCCTGTATCCAGCTGATTGGAACAAATGGTAATCTGGCAACAATTCGTCCATCGAATATATTATTGAACATACTTAAAAGCGCTGTAAATGCAAATCCAATTGCAAACATAGATTTCATCTTCACAAGAGACAGATCACGATTGTTATTCTTTAGTCTCTCCTCTTCTCGTTCAATCTTCTTTTTCTGCTGTTTGTCTAAAGAATCGCCATGCGCTTCTTTTCTTTTTTCCACTAACAAATAAAACAGTTTTATATAGATAATCTTTTTAAGCACATATGTATGTATTCTTCAGTGCATAGTTGAAATTTCTTGTAAACTCACGCTTTTTGCTTTGCTTTTCAACTTCAGCCTTCAATTTTTGATACTTTTCAGTTCTATATACCATTAACCATGTCAACCCTAAAAACAATACATCAAGTAAATACATTAAAACAACATGAACATTTTATATGCGTTTTCTTCCAAACTCTTATTAATATATTTATTTTATTTATATAATGAAATTTATATCGTTTTACCTTCGCCTAATAACGCCGTACATATGCTGATAAATACAATTAGAATAGTGTCCGCCCACATTTTGGCAAGAATGAATATTTTTATTTATTATTAGTTTATGTATTCAATAATCATGTATGAATGATCACTACTTTATCAAACCTTACAAGTCATTAAAAGCTCAGTGTAATACATAAAAAGTAAAGTGTCAAATTATAGTAACTATTAGACACTACACGGTGATATTACGCACGTGTCAATTCGGAATATTGTATATATATAATGAAAAATTCACATACACACAACCTTCCTTTTATTTATTTATTTATTTTTTTTTTTAAGGGAGATGTACATACTATATACGGTACAGGTTTGTTCTTTTATTCTCCACTTCAAAATGCTCGTAAGCTTGCTTTTCACATACATTACATTCGCGTGCAATTTCTTTTATTCTAAAAATCTATATTCTAAATTTTTTTTTTATTTCAGGGTAGTCAAGTTTTTCTTTAAACTGAGGAAAGAGGATTCTTTTCGCTACTCTTCCGTTCCTCTCACCAAAGAGAAGCTCTCACATTTGTCACGTAAATTTGCAATCACGTGAACGAGAAAAAGAGTGAAAAATAGAGCCCATAAAAAGTAATCACAATATGACATAGCCATTCAAATGGGAATGCGTTCGGAAATCCTACCGTAAAATAAAATAGCATTTAATTGACCAATCAGGACAAAAGGAGTAAAGATTTTTTCAATTGTCAAGGTCGCGTTCAGCAAAGAAAACTGCTCAGTAACAATCGAACGTGATTGGCTCTTACTTTTAGAACCAACAAATCAATAACGAGTGTTAACAAGACGATAACTGAGCGCTTCTTTGCTGAACGCGGCCAATTATAAGCTACCCTATCCCACGGGTAGTATTTTTGAACGCACCCTGGATGATATTCTCCCTTTAAATTGGAAACATTCTCCCTTGAACATAAATTTAGGCTTTACTCCAATTATTTTCTTATTACGTGATACGTCTGATTTGACAACTTCTGTTAACGTTATAGTCTCATTCCTCTATTGCAATTTTCAAGATCGAGCTTTTCCGCTATTTTGGAAATACCAAATAAAGGGGTTCTATTGCACGCGCATTATATTATTACGTCTCTATGTGTGATTGCAGCTCTCCCAGACCCTTTGGCACGCAATTTTGACTGTATGTACTATATATGGGAAGGAGGTACTATATCTTAACATTTACCGTTCATTTATTCTGTAAAGTTTTTTTTACAAGCGCCCTCGGATAGATCCACTTTTATTTCTCAGCTTTTTGGCTCTCTGCGAGATGTTTGTCAGACACATGAAAACTATGGTCGACAAATGTTTTAAAACAGAAATATTTATAAAAAGAACACGAAAAGTTCGAGAACTATGAGTCAGTAAAGTGAATAGCTAAATAGCACACTCTGACCGTGATAGATCTTATCTCCATTATAGTTTATTACTCAGTAAGCAATTAATTTTAAGACATCTATATTTGTTAAGACTTTCTCATTTAAATGAGTATCATAACTCTAGAAATTTATAATTGTTTTTTGATTTCCATATCAAAAAAGACCTCTTTTCACTTTATCTATAAATTTTACTAAAAAATTGGAGATATTATTTTTGTATTAATCTTTTCTTACAATAATTATCTCTGAATTTTTTCAACAAATTCTATCAACTTTTTGTTTAAAGTTTTTTTTACAAGCGCCCTCGGATAGATCCACTTTTATTTCTCAGCTTTTTGGCTCTCTGCGAGATGTTTGTCAGACACATGAAAACTATGGTCGACAAATGTTTTAAAACAGAAATATTTATAAAAAGAACACGAAAAGTTCGAGAACTATGAGTCAGTAAAGTGAATAGCTAAATAGCACACTCTGACCGTGATAGATCTTATCTCCATTATAGTTTATTACTCAGTAAGCAATTAATTTTAAGACATCTATATTTGTTAAGACTTTCTCATTTAAATGAGTATCATAACTCTAGAAATTTATAATTGTCTTTTGATTTCTATATCAAAAAAGACCTCTTTTCACTTTATCTATAAATTTTACTAAAAAATTGGAGATATTATTTTTGTATTAATCTTTTCTTACAATAATTATCTCTGAATTTTTTCAACAAATTCTATCAACTTTTTGTTCATAGATTAGAAAATCTATTTGCATTAGTGGAATTGACCAAAAAAAAGATATGGACTAGTAAATGCCTCTTATCTATTTTCTCTCTTTTTTTTCTTTTTGTATATTTGAATTTAAAGGAAAATTTTTTAAATTTCTATTAAATTAATTTGTTATTCTTTTTCTAGGCACGGATAAGGATAATGTTTCGAATAGTGAGAATATTAAACTGAGGGCAGCAGATACATTTAATAATTATTTTCATCATTCAAGTGTGATGCCCATTACTTCTAGATACATAACATAATGTCCACATATAACAATGATTGTTGCATAGTTGTTTAATCATTAAGGGAAAATGTCTGGACAGTCCTGCTCTGAAAATGATATTGATAAAAAATATAGTGTTTCGTTAAAATACAACGAAACAAACAGTAAGAATCATGATGAAAATATCTGCAGACACAAGACTGTGGAAAATAAGCCGATTACTGGAAATACAATTGATAACGCAGAGAAGGAAAAATACACTCGAGAAAATGAGATAGCAGACAATACATGTATCGATGAAAACAAGAATAATGTATTGCATGCATCAAAAATTCAAAATATGATGAAAAAAATGGGATACAAGCCAGGAAAAGGTCTTGGAAAAAATAACCAAGGTCGTATTGAACCGGTAGAAACTGTTATTCAACGTGGTCGAAAAGGATTGGGACATTATATACACAAAGCTAAAAGAAAAAAATCGAATAGTGGAGATGCAATTGATAATATAGAAGAAGAAAATTACACTCGAGAAATTGAGACAGCAAACAGTGCACATATTGATGAAAAAAGCAATATATTACATGCATTAAAAATTCAAAATATGATGAAGAAAATGGGATATAAGCCAGGGAAAGGTCTTGGAAAAAATGATCAAGGTCGTGTAGAACCAGTGGAAGCAATTACTCCACATGGTCGAAGAGGATTAGGATTCGCTATGTCCCAAGTTTCAAAAAAAAAAGTTGCAATTCTCAAGAAGACTCCAATTGCACCTTCTTCCTTTCTTTCTTCTCCTCCTCCTCCTTTAAAAAATTAAAAAGTGTCCATTTTATTTTTTGTGTAGGAAGTGTAAGAAAGTGCAGCTGAATGAAAATGATAGTTTCTTTTTTTGAAAGGATTAGCACGGTTATTTAGCACAATCTAATTTTGATAAAATCTCTCACTTAACTCTGTCTTTATTGTTTTTTTCTTTCTAACTTTATATCTTTTATGAGACAGGTAATTCTGTGCAAGCTCTTAATCAGGGAAGTGTGGAATTTGGCGAGGATCGAACTCTGATCTGATTAGGTGACTGCAATATTTTGTGCATACATTATTAGAAGAATGGAAATCGAGAGAAAATATTGGAATATAAAAATTGTTTGTAGATTTATCTTATAATAGCTCTTTCTTTTTAAAAAGCTCGAGTGTATGTTAATTTTGTTTTGCAAAAGGAAGGTACAAGTAAGTGTGATAAAGGTAAAGACAGATTTAATGTATAATCTTAGAATATCTAAAGAAAATATACTATATGAGAAAACACTGCTATATTCATATTTCTATTTTAAATGTTTGAATCAGTAGTAGTTTTTGTATTAGTATATTCTATTTATTTATTTCATAAGTTATGTTAATACTTTTTGAAAAGTTAAGAATATGAATATTACATATATAAATATATTTTTTTACTATGTAGTAAAGTCCATTGTTGTAATTTCAAATTTTTTTATTTATTTTATACAAACTGATATTGTGATTCTATTTTAAAAAATGTACTCTTATGATTTCTTAGTTTTTAATATGTAATAAAGTAAATTATAAATAACTAGTATAATGTTAGTAGAATGTTAATAATTAATCTGAATAACAAATAATGAAAAAATAAAATATAAAATTATTCATTATTAAAATAAATTGATGTAAAATTTTTTTTCTCATATAAACTTTAAAAAGAAAGATGAAAATGCTTTGTCACTTGGTGAAAAATATGTATAAACAATAAAAATTACAAGTTCAATTTTCACGTGTTATTAAAGTCCTCACGCTTGCATCTATGTCACTGTGTCTTAATACATCTTTTGCCGATGATGCATGAAGTGTCTACCAGCATGTCGTTCTAATTTTTCATTTCTTTCATTATTACGACGATCCCAATGATGATTACGTCTACCATGATTTTGATGTTGATGCTGACGTGACCAGTCATGTCTGCGTGGTTTATTATACCAGGGATCCACAATTGGCGGTTTCTTCGGCTCCTGCATTTTAATCTTCATAAAAGCACTATCCTTTTCTGTGTAACAATCTTTAAATTCCTCTTCACATTCTTCTAAAAATTTTGTTTGCTCGCTCGTCAAAGTGATGTCTGCCATAATTCAATCTTATAGACAAGAACCTGTACATTATAGTTAATATCAGTCATTATATGGAGAAAAATGATTAATGATAAAAATATAAATAATGTATATCTCCGCGTATGTGAAAATTATTGTTATAAAAAAAAACTTACGATTACAGAAACATTTTACAATCCCGTGTGCTTGGCCTAATCTCTTATTATATTTTCTATTATATTCTGAATTGGATATATTTGTAAATATTTCTGGCATGAATCGTAAATGCAGGTTATATACTTTAAAGCAAACCTTAAGCCCATATCATACTGCGTATTAGCAATGATTAGCAAGAGACTGATTTAGCGTTTTCGAGTGAAGCAGGTTTACGAATATATTATATGTTCGACCGAGAAAATAGATTTTGAATCTGATTAATATAAATAAATATATTCCTAGTAAAGTAAAAGACGGAGTTTATATCTTCTATATTCTATGTCAATAGAAGATATTCCAATTCCTTGTTTTGATGTTTTGTGTATGTCAGTGACACATGAATCATTATTTTCACTATTTGTGAAAACGCGGCGAAAGATAAAATTTCCCGGAAAATACCCTATCCGATCCCTATCCTATTAGCCAATCCGCTTTGAACAAATACGTATGTATGACAGTCGCGCACCGATATTTCGGAATCTTGCGATCCCCGCCGAATCAATTTTCGCGGATCGCAAAAATTTTTCTTCTCCAACATCCAATTGCGCGCGCGCGTGTATGCGGTTCGTTCGGCCGAAATATCGCAGGTGATTAATTAACGTGAGACGTAATGGCGTTCCGTGCCCCCTCGCATCTGTAATCATCTACTACTCGGTCGTAACGATGTTCATGACGTGTGATCGAATTACATACTACGTTGGAGAGTGTTGAGTTCCCGACCCCCTTCGCGACTTATTTATCATTTTTGCCCTGTCACCGTGTGACCGAATAACATAAATTGTAACACTTGATTCACGACGACGGACGAGATGGATAGCAATAAGGACGAGGCCGAGCGATGCACGGAGCTCGCGGAACGGTTTATACGAGAGAGAAAATACGAGGAGGCCGAGAAGTTTGTTCGCAAAGCCCAAAAGCTTTATCCGACGAAGAAGGCTGAGGGTACGTGTGACTTCCAGCGGAGCGTACATCCTTAAGCAATGTTGCAGATCAATCGGCGAGGATCTTTCCCCGCTTTTTGTATTGTGCACGTTCGTATTGTTTGTCAGCAAAAGAGTTCTTCACTTTATATATATTTATTATAGACGAAATCGCGCGCACACGATTTTTACATTCGTCTTGCGAAAGCAATTTCTGTAAACTCTTTCTGGCAGAGAGCAATGAAACAAGTGTCATGAAAGAATCATCAAATAATTATATGTTTATAGAACTGTTGGCAGAAGTGGCGATACTTTCAAAGCAAAACCAGAAACCCGAATCTGCAGAGCCTACTGTTAGAAAACGTCAAAATGTAACTAAAGATGGAACACATTCCCAGACTAATTCTGAATATACAAAAGAACAATTGGATCATGTGAAAAGGTAGATACTTTAACGGTGAGATTGTTTTAACAGCTCAAACGGATTGCAATATTCATGAAAGATATATCGTTTGTATTATGATTGTTCTATATTTTGCTTATTTAATTTTTATTTATTATCTGCTCAACACTCGTTTTATATGTGAAACATACTTTTTTCATGAGGATGATTATTTCAGGATAAAGAAATGCAAGGATTATTATGAGATCTTAGGAGTCAGCAAAGACGCTACAGACAGTGATATTAAAAAAGCTTATAAGAAATTAGCTCTTCAATTACATCCTGACAAAAATAAAGCACCAGGCGCAGCTGAAGCTTTTAAAGGTAAGATTACTCGATACAGTTGCGACAAAGAGTTATTTATAGCAAATACATTTAAGTAAAAAATCTGTTTATTCTTTTACAGCTATTGGTAATGCAGTCGCTATTCTTATCGATGCGGAGAAGCGAAAACAATATGACTTGTATGGTCCTGAAGAAGAACGATTACAGAATGCGCAACATCGCCAAGGTCATACACACTATAACTATACTCGTGGATTTGAAGGTAAGAAAAAAAGGAGACATTAATTAAATTAGGAAATACTACAAATTTCTACATTAGAAAGTAATGACTAAAATATCTTTATATTTTTAGCCGATATCACAGCTGAGGAGTTATTTAACATGTTCTTCGGTGTTGGCTTCCCGCAACAAGAATTTTATATGCGTCGGTCAGGTGGAAGATGGACGAGGCAACAAGACGCGCAAGCGCAACATACCCATTCTCAGGTAGAGTAAAACAGCATTTTTACTGCTAAGGCTATTTTCATTGTTTATTTATTATATATAACATTTTACAGCAAGCAAATGGATATACCACATTTCTTCAAATGTTACCAGTTTTATTACTAATATTGTTAACTATGATGAGTAGTTTCTTCATATCTGATCCAGTATATAGTCTGCATTCAAATTCGTAAGAATAATTAACAGCATTTAAACTTAATAAGAATCCTTGTATGAAAAAATATACATATAATGAATTTCTTCTCATTTGCAGGAAATATTCTGTAGCTAGGACCACTCAAGTTTCACATATTCCATATTATGTTAAGGAGAACTTTCACAGTGAATATCAAGGCAGTTTACGTAGGCTAGAAATATCAATTGAAGAAGAGTACTTCAATAACTTAAGACAAGCCTGTGCCAGAGAGAAGAATTACAGTATGTATATAGAATAATTTCTTTCTTCTTCTTTTTTCTTTTCAATATATCCAACATGTTTTTAATTGTTGTTATGATAGTTATATATAACTTCCTTTTTATATTTATCTTTTTTTATTTTTTTATTTTTTTATTTTTTCATGAGATTTGAAAGAGATTTGAAACATTAACTTTTCTTAGGAGAAGCTATGATGTGGAAATCCCGTAATTTCGGAGATCATGATTTATACTTGAAAGCTAAAAATCTCGAAACGCCTTCATGTAAGAAAATACAAGAACTGCAAGATAGTCTGAAACTCTGATAGGCGAAAAATATTAATTAAATAAAAGTCTATTGTAGATAGATGTATATTATATTTATACGTATATAATTGTTTTTGGGTGTGAAGAAAATTTGACGTATAAAATGCAATATCATGTTTCTATACATCCAGAGGGTAAATCATATATTTCAAAGTTCACACAGAAAACATATTTAGACTACCTTTTAGCTGTTTATTCTATGCATAAATTGTAAACTGCATAATGAATGACTGATTGTGCAAAGTGAATGAAGTTTTATTCTTTAGTTGGACTTGCGCAAGTGAAAATACGTAAAAGAAAATTTCTGTTATAATTCCTATAATCTCTTAAAACAAATATGTGTGTGTTTGTATATATACATGTATACATATACATACATGAGATTTGTAAATCTGTTTTGAAGATTAGTTAAAAATTATAAACATATACAAAGAAAATAATATATAATGCATTCACAATAATATAATGCCTTTAACTTTCCATACAAACTGATGATGCAGTGAAATATTCTTAGGAGATGTAATTCATTTTGAATACTCAGTTATTTATAATGAACGAAATGAAAGCCTCTAGTACTCCTGTTAGTATGATCACATAGATAACTTAGATGGGATGAGTACATCATGTGTATGTAATTTCACAAATTTGCAAGTCCACAATTTATTTCGTGATAATGCCTTTTTCGATTGTAATTGAGAAAATATAAATGCATCTAATGTCAGTTATTCATATTTATATTTGGAATGTTGTAACACAGTGGCCTATTGGTGTATGCATTTTTGGCAATTTTTAAAAATAAATTTATGGTTATACAAGTATAATTTAAAGGAGAAGAAGAGGAAATAATTCGATAAGTATGTATATGTCTGAACATTTTAAATCTCCTCAGTCAATTAACTATTTTTTTCAAAGTCTCTTAATTTCTATATTGAGTTATAGTTATTGATTTTATAAACACAGATGAAATTTAAATAATATATTAAATATAAATTACAGGCAATATACATTATGTCAAATTGCAATCGCTTTTCACTTGAATTATACTTATTTCGATATTTCTTTTATCAATGTTATAATTGTAGAGAACCTATATATGTACATTGACATAGTATTGTTCAAAATTCAAATTAGGTTCATATTAAGTTTATCACAATTTTAATAGATATAAAATAATATATAAAAATATAAAATTTTTAATATATATTTCTAATAAATTCTTGTATTTATTTCTAGAATTGTTAAAAGGATTTTTCAATATTTATGTAAAAGTTTAGTCAAGTTATTTGTGAGTGAACTTTTCTCTATTCTATTTTCATCTGTTATTTATTAGACGCTAGTAACAGATTTTTCTTATTGTTAATAGCATATAAAAGTGAGATAACAAAATTTGTTTTAATGAAGCAATATGAAAGATATTTCATATTTCTTATGCATCGATAAAAAATTAATCAAATTATAATTAGAGTGATAAGTTTCGAAAATATTTGTGATTTCAAATGCAAATGGTATTAAATCTCTGTGTCGATATATAATAATAGCGTGCGTCTTAGTATGTAATTACAAATCGTACAATTTGTTATGTAAATTTTAGTTATAATTTATTGTTATTAGCAGTTTTTAGCATAGACGTATTTATGATACAAATATAAATTATGTTTAAAAAAATTTTGTTTTTTTCTGCTTTAAATAATAAAATATAATTTAACTGAAACATTTTTCCGTATCTTCCATATTTTTCGAGATATTTGACTGGCTCTTTTAAAATAGACCACCCTGTATATATATAACCAAAATTGTAAAATTTATGTGTGTATGAAATATATGTATATATACATTACATATGTATCAATCTTTTATTTCATTTATTTCTTTCGGTCGGTCACATGGGGGGGGGAAAGTTGAGTTTTATCATACAAGTGTGTTGGATGCTTATTGACAATCGGATAAAGAATTTTTTTCCCGAAGATTTCATACGTCATACGATATAGTCGCTCAATATGTCCCACAAAGTCCATTTAAAAAAAAAAATTAATATTTCATTAATGGATATCTATTTTTTTCGAGATGCAGTATATCATCTTTTTTCATCTTACATAAATTTTGTATAATAGCGAGACTGTTTTCTCAAATGTACCCGTCGTATGGCAAATAATATATTATCCTAAAGCCCGTATTAGACAATTATAATTTTTATTATAACGTATTAGACTACGCATTGAAAATTAAAGATTGGAATTTAATTAAAAGATTAATTAAATCAGAACAAAAGGAATTGAAATTTCTTTCTTTTGATCAATTTCAATCATTATCTCCGGCTTAAGGCTTATACACACGTAACGACATTCGCAAAACAACTATGTATAAACTCTGTGAGAATCACTGATCATTGATTTGGGTGCATCCAGTAGCACGACCGCTCACTAAGCAGTTATTCATGATTGGTTTACCTGTTAGATTGTAAAAATATACACCAATCACGAGCAGTTGTTTATTGAGCGCTAGTGAGCGGTCGTGCTACTGGATGCACCTACTATACTGGCTGCGTTCCGATATTCACTGCCAGTACTGAAAATCTATAGTTTGCGTCACGTGTACTATAGATTTTTAGTACTGGCAGTGAATATCGGAACAACCATAACCTGTAATCTGTGTAATTTTATGTTATTATTTATATATGACCAAGATATTTTATGCCTCAAAATAAGATGAGGTAAGTGATAGAATGGCACTTATAATTTGATAATAATAATTCCTGAAGATTTCTTGACGAATTTTAAATAATTACAGATGTAACATGATATCTGCTTGAGAGGGCTCGCCAAATTAATTACAGATATAATAATATTCTTTGAAGTGACAACTTGATTATTTCTCATTGCTGATTCTCATCGTTCAAAAATATGTCGGGAAAAGGAAAGCAGAGTTCTAAGAAGGCTGTTGTCAAGGTACGCGAATCTGGAAAGACTGCACAATCTTCGCTGCTAAACACCGACACGAATTCCGAGACATCAGAGCCAACGACGTCTCAGGCAATTTTAAAGATTATTGACAATGGTCGACACCTGCCAAAGTATACCAACATCCTAAAACGTACGGCGGAAGAGGGTGTGGGTATGGAAGATCTCGACACACTGCAATTGGAACTGGAGACGCTCTTGTCGGCGGTCGTTGTACGGCACCGCACTCTTCAAGACGAGATCGCCAACTTGTCGTCGGTGGAAGAACGTAGAGACAGAAGATCGAAAAGTGGGAAGAGTGTGCCTCTACTCAATAAGAAAGTGCGCGAGGAAAAATTTAAACCAAAAGAGGTGAACACTAAAAGTCAGCCGCCTCTGTACACAAAACTCTATACGCAAAGAGCTGTAAGAAGTTCAGCCAGTCAGGTAACATCAAACACACACGAAGTTGCAAGGATAGAAGGGTCTAAGTCAGATGCGCCAAAACTCCTTTTACCGAAAAACGATACGCCCAACAAGTTCTGGGCATCAGTGGATCCTTATTGCACCGACATTATGCCCGATGATATTAAATTGTTGGAAGAATTGATTGCTACACATGGTGATATAAGCGATTTTAAGAAGATCCCACCTCTAGGCCGTCATTATAGTTTAATTTGGGCGCACAACGATTTGTCGCAAGAGGAAGAGGCGGCCAATCCAAACAGGGAAAAGAAGAAGAATCGTACGGATATGTCTCACTTGATATCCAAAGGTGATAAGAAAACTAACGGTATCGCAGGACCTCTCACTCAGCGACTAGTCTCTGCGCTAATGGAGCAAGGGTATGTCGGGAATAATAATACAGAGAATAAATTATTCCGAGATAGGGACTCACCCGTTTTGAGAGGTCTGACTATTCAGAATTCCATTAATTTGGAGTCACAAATGCTCAAGGAATTAGTCGAGCAGGGAATCTTGGAACCCGATGCACAGAAAAAGAATCAAGATGATGATGAGATTCTTGCAGAGATTAAAAGATGTCAACAGGAACTTTCTGCATTGTCCAATCACAATGTTATACAGCTAAAGAGATTGTTAAATTTAGCTCAAGAGGAAAGTAAAAGGCAAGCGTTGAAACGGAAAATTAGCATCGCCGACAACGAGGTGGTAGAGCATTATAAGAAATTGGCTAAAACCAAACAAAATAAAGAATCCTTAACGAGAAAGGATCAAGAGAAAGCATGGACGTGTCTGCGGGAAAGGGAAAATTTGTTGGAACAATTAAATGCTACCAAATAATTTAGTAAAATCTATAGGTTTTACACAGCGAGACTAAGTTTAAGAATATTTCTTAAACATATATATATAATACAATCACACTATAATACAGATTTAAAAATTCTCAATCTGTCATAAGAAATATTCAACATATGTGAGATATCCGGATAATATGATAATATATATACTTGGTATTATCAGGATATGTGTACATTGTTAATTCTTTATATTAAAAATGCATAGATTCAATATAGAGAAATTGTATATTGCGATGAAAATTACACTACACACATGAATTTAGAATTCCCGTTAATGTTACACATACCAAAATTGAACATATGTATTTTCTCAACACACATAATATTGAGATTATAATTCATAGATTCTAATGCGTGCAGAGAGAAGTTCGAGTCTGAATAATATTCAAATATAAACATATAAGATTTTTTTTATTGATAAATTATATATTTATCATCTTACAGGAGCTAAATTATGCCAGTAATTGCCAACGAGAAAGAAAGAGATACAAGAGAGAACTTAATTATTATAATACTCGCGGTTTCATCTTTTATTTAAAAATAATTTTTCATTGTACCAATTTTTATTGATATTCCATTATATATCAATATCTTCTTTTAATATTACTGGAGATTTTTAGTATAGTATATTGTATAATGTAGATTTTATAATTTTAAAATAAAATATAAATATATATTCACATATGTATATATATTTAAAATTTATGCTTGCACATATGTGTATGTCAAACTTGAGAAGAATTTAGAAAATTAGTTAATTATGAAAACCAAAGTGGATTATTTTTGCTTTAAGAACATACATAGGAGTATAATAAATTTAATAATTATTATTATCTATTTTGAACAATGTGAAAATATAAATTGTGTGTGTAATTTATATGTACTCTAAACATGTTCAAGCATATGTGTGAAAATTGATGTAAAAAGTAATAGTAATTGTAACTTACTTTACATCAATAACTTTATTTAATTCAACATATTAATTTTGTTATATTCATAATTCTTCAAATGTTTTGTGATTTTTTCATCACATTGTGTGTGTAAATGATATTTTTTATAGTTCCATGCATATATATAATTTAGATTAAATGCATTTAGTTTCAAATATGCCTTTGTTGTATAATCACAACTTAGTAACTCCATTATGGAAGATTTATAATCGTAATCGAGTATATATTATGTCAGCAAATTTTCTGAAATATAACAACAGACATCTTTGAACTCTTATAAAGTTGTATATACAAGTACTTGTGGGTCTTGATTAATAAAAAAAAAATAAAAAAAATAAAAAAAATTTGAGAAAAAATTTTATTTATATTAAGATCTCTTGACTGTATAATGCGCATATTGCTTATATACATACCATTGAATAATAACTCTTGTTGCTTAGAATATGAAAACTAAACTTTGATTATATAATTAATTGTAGATATATATCTTAATTAAAAATAAATTACTTCTTAACACATTATATATATTATAACGCTATAATAAGATATATATTTTTGTAACTGTACTCTCTCTCTCTCTCTCTGATCAATTTATTATCTTTTCCATTATTATAACTTTCATTCTTGCAACACATTAAACCATTGTCATAGAAGCTTCAGACAAAATTTTACATTTCAATTACATTTAGTTACTTAAGTAATAATTATTATGTATTATACAAAAAAGCTTATTTTTATACATATAAACTTTATATAACCATGTGGTGTATATAAAAGAGAGCAGATTCGAATTATTTTTCGAAATTACAAAAGAAGAGAGGCGGCAGAAAAGGAAATTGTGCAAACAAGTATTTATAAAAATCCATATGTTCACGACAAAGATGTTTATTCGGTATCACTGTACAGTTTTGGTTGTTTTCTTTTTTTTTTATCGTCAAGAGTTATCTTAACAACGTGCATACGCGACGGCACAACAATGATGAACCCTTTAAGGTAACAAGATTTTTTCGAAAAATGTACTCGCGTAGGATACTATAACGGAGTATGAGTACCTACATGCGTGCATAGGTATGCGGATGAGGCTGTCGCTTTTTTTTTAAACTTTCAATAATGTCTTATTCGTTCTTGTTACAATGAAATCCATTATTTTATAACAATGTGAGTTTTACGCTACATGAGACAGTAGGCCATGAAATGATTACAAACAAGCTGAAGATTTGGAAGGGGGCCGGGACGATCCGCGAACGATGACATGTAACTACATGTATAGCTCTTAATTATAACTCTTGTTCATTGCCGCGCCGTCGTAACCCCACCGAACCACGAAAATCTGAGCTTCTCTAATGATTTCATGACATCCCGCGCACCAGAGACAGCCGCCGCCTTTCCCATAGAGCCAGACGACGTTGCCTTGGCAGTGACGCACTAAAACTATATCAGCAATTTTTTTATGCAGATATTGTGGCTTAGAAGGCGAACAGGAGCAGGAAAGCCATCATAAGACAGAAGAGACCCATAGCCTCGGATAGGGCGAAGCCCAGAATGGCGTACGAGAATAGTTGCTGTTTCAGGGAAGGATTCCTGGCATAGCCGATGATCAGCGAACCGAATACGGATCCTATGCCGGCACCTGGAATAGCAATTCGTCGACTGTTACGGAATACATATAGGATCTCGTGAATAGAGTAAAGGATTTTATTGCTAATACTGATGTTTGCAACACACACTATACATGTACATGTGTAACATATTACATAACAATCTATGAACATGCATTTTACTTAACGAGACGTTAAAACAATATAAATCCAATATATTTTCCTACAGATTATACACATATATGGCAGATGAAAGAAATTTATAATAACTTCACTTTCATGAATGGGGATCTGGTCCAGGGAGAGAGTTGGGTTCAAAAGGCAAATAGTATGAGGAACGCTATCATCAAGCAAAAGAGGCCCATTGCTTCGGATAGCGCGAATCCAAGGATGGCATAGTTAAAAACTTGCTGTTTCAGGGAGGGATTACGTGCATAACCAATTATTAAGGATCCAAAAACCAAACCGATACCAACCCCTACAATATGAAAAAATGCTTCTTTAAAAACAATGTAAACTTAAACAAGAAATTAAAACAAACATAATACTACTCAATTTATATTTTGTCAATTATACAATTATTCAATATTATATAAAAAAAAGTTAACATATCATGTTTCTGAAGGAATATAAATATCCTTAGCATAAGCATTAATATATTTAAAAAAGAACAAAAAAGGATATATAAAAATTGCAACAAATTTTTAATTATTCGAAAAGTATTAAAATTCTTATAAGAACACTTATAGGAAAATTTATTAAACATGTTATTAATAGAGAGCATGAGCATGTATGCATCCATTGGATATAATGAATATAATTATTTCAAAATTACTAAACACCAGGTTATACATATATAATCACTGTATAATAAATTGCAGAGATTTTCACATAACCAATTCAATTCATATAATAATATCTTTCATGCTATTGTACAAAATTGTGCTCCTCGACAATTGATAATTGTGTACTTTTGCAAATACGTACCAGATCCTGCTACACCCACAGTGGCAGCACCAGCACCAATGAATTTCGCAGCGGAATCTATGTCACGACTGACTGTCGAAGTTTGGAAGCTACGCACAATTGGTGACTGCACCAAAATACCACAAGTTAGAGATTATCGATATTAATTCTTATCATACACAATAAAACAGATATATTCTTTTTTTTTTAAAGGTTTGTTTTATAATTTTGATATACATAAAGTTTCAGAGATATAACAAAATTTATGTTTCATAGCCTCCCTCTGTCTTGCTAATTGAAGATTCATTCCAAAGTATAAATCAAATATTTAATAACAAATTTGTTCCAATTGTTGCATTAATAATCATAGTAACACTTCTATGCTAAGAGATGTACATATATATTTGCCAAAAATCATGACTTAGAAACTATTCAAATATTATCAAATTTTGAAAAAATTGATAACCAATGCTACTCGATATCTAATTAAAACATCTGCATATCTTCATTTCCATATAATTATTGCACAAGTTTGACCCTAAAGACGCGACTAATGGCGACCAATATTTTTTTTCCTATTGATACAAAGATATGGAAATCCCGGAAATATCCCAACTTGTCTTAGTGAGACTCGAAACCTTCGCCACGGATGGTGACGGTGGTCGACAATTATATAACCTTGATCTCGAAAAGTTATGCAATGTACAGGGGGCGAGAGGGGAAAAAAATAAGAGAACAATAATTTACTCACCAAACTGACGGGTGTCTGAATTTGATTCTGCTGTAAGTACTGGCTGTGGCTGATCACGGCACTGCTCAGTGGCCGCAGATAAGTCTTGGTGCCGGAGACCAACTGTAACGGGAGGAGAAAACGTGCGCGTTTGATAAAAGGTGCGAGAAAATGCGCGGAGAGAGGAGACATTATATAATATTACATATATATACGCGCATGCGAAGTCTCGTCTTAGAGACAAATTATTATTTTTTTTTTCTTTCCTTCTTTTTGTTCCTGTACTCACGGTGGATTTGGCGACGGGCGCGATGAATCGGCTGCATGACAAATTATTATTTTTTTTTTCTTTCCTTCTCTTTTTGTTCCTGTACTCACGGTGGATTTGGCGACGGGCGCGATGAATCGGCTGCAGGCGTACATGATGACGTTTGCTTTGGTACTGTGAGGTCTCGTAGACTTTTAACGCAAGGGAACCTGGAAAAAAATCCGAAAATACGCACGGTTAGAGGCCTCGCGAGAGGACAGCACCTTCACTACCCTCGCGACCTTCGTGAAAAGCTGGCCGCGGACGAAACAGCCGTAGTGGAATCGAACCGTAGGTAGAGCGAATATTACGTAACGCCCTCCTCAAAGTCGGGATCAATTTCTCGCGAGCTAATTCCTCCCTACAGGGTTACAGTCGCTCGACCTCTTGGAGCTCGCCCGCGGCCAGCAGCTTCGAGCGAATACGCGAATGCCGTACGTCGATCGAATTCTGACGACGACGACGACGATGACGACGACGACAAATGCCGGGCGGCGAACTCGCGACACGCACGTTACGGTAGAAAATGGCCGATCTCTCCCTCTCCCTAGGTTCCCGCACGGCAATCGATCAACGAGTGAATAAAAACGCGACCGATTCAATATACCGGACCGATCTTTACGTTACTGATGATTATCGCGAACACGCGGTTGCTTCCTCTCCGTGCGAACGATCCGAATCACGACACGATCGATTTTTTACTCACTTGTCGAGCAGCGGGCGGTCGCACTTACCAGAGAGCAGTGTCGCAGAGAGACGGCCCTTGGAATGTTAAGTCGAGTATGAGTGGAAGGCGAGCGCGTGCGAAAACGTCTGCGACTGGATCGACCTATCTCGAGCGCGACTACCAACGGAACGGACCGACTTCCGTGCGATGACCTATTCGTGGCTTCCGACCGATGTTTTATCGACCAACCGAATTTAGCCGAGCAGACCAATTCGTTCGCGGCGGGTGATCAGTACAAGCACTGAGACGTTTCCTCGGGACGAACGAGCTCCCTTTATTTACGTCTTTAAAATTGCGGACCGTCTCGTAAAGTCGTGATTCGCGCTGCGATTTAAAAGGACGGATTTACGGATGATCTTTAATCGCTCGTTTGACTCTACATCGCTGTCGTGCGATACAAAATAAAGCTTCGATGCGAATGTCGAAATTTGTCCAATTTTTTTTTTCTTAACTTTATATATATATATTCGTTTGTTATATATGATAAATGATAATTTCATCACGTGTGATGTATTAATTGCTTATAAGTAAAAATCAATAAAAATAATTTATTATAAGATACACCTATTGTTATTCAAGTAGTTATCTATAGGTTTGAAATTTATTATAGATTCCTTCAATCAATAAACATAAAATTCATCAAATACTATTCTGGTTACCAAATCTTAATTATGCACTTTAAGACCCATTTAGATTGAGTTGCGTAGCTGTATCAAGTATATAAAAATAAAAAATCATCCACAATCACATGAATATGTAAGATATATAACGCTATATAGACAATACTCTGTGTATATGATATTTTTTATCCTATTCAAATGTAAAAGAAAAAGATCGAGAAAGATTGAGATCATATAAATTTATAGTATTAGTTTCTTATTTTGTATATATATATATGATGTTGATTAGTTTAAATTAATAAATATATTATATACAAAATAAGAAATTAAATTGAAACATAATTTTATTGTGGATCTGTACAATTTACTATGGCAGATATCATTCTGCACTACTGGGTTTATGTTGCAATAAATGTACATCGTGTTCCATCTCAAATCCAATGGCTTTCCTAGCATTATACAATTGGAAGAAACGTTTACCATGTTCAAAAGTCGCAATCATAATTGCACAAGCTGGGGCTACTTTTACCAAACGTGGTGTTAATCCTGTGAATAAACCCTTCAATCCATCCTGATGATAAATCCTCTGTATTATGGACCACGTATTGCTACTTCGAATAGGTTTATCTAAAAATTCATAATTACATATTTTGCAATATAGTTTCTTTGCTTATATTCTTACTCCAGTTATTATTATAAAATTATTATAAAATTCAATTATTATAAAATTATTATAAAATTTGTTTATATTCTTACTCCAGTTATTATTATAAAATTTCTGTGACAGACATACAAGACTAAATGCAAATTTTTATACAAAACTAGATACAAATTCATACTGATCAAATTCTTGTAGTGAAATGTGTTCATTGTACATAATATTTACCTGAATAAATTTCCTTTTCACCCATTTCAATTTGCCTGTGCGTCTTTACTACATCAAATGGAATAGTGAAAACTGCTGCTATCTGTGTAATGTTGCATGTTAAGACAGTAATATATTAAATATAATAATAAAATATATTTTCAGAGAAAATACATACAGATCCAGCTATGGCGCCTGCTGCTAGATTAAAAGTAAAAGTTTGCTGCGGGGTGTAGAAAATCTTCTTTATAGTCTCATAATTCAACCAATATATAGCACTAAAAGGAACGTCACGAAGAAGTGTTGTACCCAATCCCATCCATAAACCAGAAATACCACTATATTTCACAACTGTTTTCATTGCTTGTGTTATTTCTAGAACACACATAAAGTATTGAAGTTGTTAAAACTTTATGTCCAGCATTCTCTCTCTCTCTTCATAAGAATTTAATTTTATATCTACATAATTAATTTTTTTTACCCTACCTGCGTAACTCAGTTTCTGTGATTGCATTTTTGTTCTTATCAACTCCAATGGACTCACCAATGACGCAGCCCAAATCCGTGCTGTACCACCAGCTAAGACAGGAATCCAAAAGGGTTGTTCAACATTGCTACCTCTTTTTCTGAACTTTCTGTTATATGTATCCTAAATATCGTAACATTGTTAATGATAATACAAAATATTTCTCGTCTAGAATTTCTATGTCCCATATTTGTAAATAAGACAGGAAAAAATATCAAAATGCATTTTTACCTTGAGATATAATCTCAATTGTTCATAGGAAACAAAGTATACAACAGTTGCAGGTATAGCTAAAACAAGAGTGGGACTCAAACCACTCCATAATGATATTATACCTTCTGTTTTACTTATTTTTATCAAAGCATCCTAAAAAAAGAAAAATGAATATAACTAAGAGATTGAAATATTGAATATTGTATTAAATTGCACTACACACAATTATCGCGTACCACTGTTCCATTGAATTTTCCATTCCTTCTCATCCATTCGGGCATTTTACCATTTGCACAAGGACACAAATGATCCATTAAACCATTGCAATATAGAAAACATTTGTTTGAAAGCATTGCTTTCTGCTGCGTTTGAAGACGTATTTTTACTACATCCAAGGGAGTCACTAAGAGTGTCATTAAAAGTATATAAATATTTTTAAATTTTGATTTACATTTAATTTGCCGTTTAAAAGATGCATATAATTAACAAATTATTATATAAATATGTTATTTACATAATTCAAAAATAAGAAATCTATATATATTGTATTAATTTAGAATTGCAGAACAGAAATAATTTAATCTTGCGATCCTTATCAAGTTACAATATATGATTTCAAAACAGCATAATATTTTGAATATATTGACACAATATACTCTAGTCTTTTTCCTACATATAATATTTTATATAGGATGCATCTACATACAAAGTAACAAACATTTTTATTAAATATATCAATGTATCAGCAAAGAAACTTACCAAACACCGACGTAATAAATGCACCAGTGCAAGCAGCTACAATTTGCTGGTACGGTTTAATACGAAATCTTGGATCGTCCAAGTCAATGTTTGATGATATATTACTTGCTTTATTCATCTCGTAGAGTGTCTATCATACCCATGCACACTTTAAAATCTACATTGACATAATATAAAATTTTATCGAGGGAGACTCTAAAAACGAGTCGTCATCGACGCGATATATCGCGGGAACAAAAAGACAATACACGTGACATCACGATAGGTTTGTTTTTTGTAGCACGTCATGTAATAATTAACAAACTGTATATATAACGGTATCTTAGTTAACCTCCTTCTTACATGTGCCTGACGTTTTTTGCGTCATCTGATTAATGCTGATTAATGCTGATTAATGTTACCGGCATAGATTATACGTCTATAGCTGCCGGCTAAGCTCGTAGAACGTGACCCAGGTTATCGCTTTATCTCCACAATCTTTTGCGAATGTCGATGATATCATAATTTCCTTATCAACCTGAGATTGCCGGCTCCGTGTCATGTGTCATCGCACGTTACGGCATGGCACTAGTAATATTTGAAATTTCAAAACGGAGATTCAATCTCATTCCATTCACAGTATTATTTATGCTCTATTTGTCTATTTAGAAAGACACGTGATTGATCACCTCAGAATTTTTCTTACAATTAATCAAATAAAGGCCTACCCAGATAGAATACAAATAATGAATCTAGGCAGAAAAAATAGCCAATCAATTTTTCGTTTTTATAAAAAAGCGGTAAGTTGATTGGCTGTTGCATCTCCTGTTGTCGCGCAAACTTTCCGAGTTACCTACCGAGTCTACATGAACTATATCGTTTGTGCTAGAGAAAACACATTGTGGTTATGTGGTTCATTCAATCAGTGCAGCGCGCGGATTAACGATCGTATAAAATTTCCTTAGGCGCGAAAACGTGAAAAGTTTTACACGAACTCGAACGCTATGGCAGAAAAGAAGAAACAATTTGATGAGTTTTTGGGAGGATCCGAGTCACTCCCACATGAAGTATCTATTATGCAATTTGTCTCTTCACGAGCCCGTGAAATTTCTGCGATGACATCTTCGATTGGTATGTACATACATACACTTTGCAATGTAATATTTAAATATAATCTTCTATATAAATTTCCATCCTTTTGGGTCGTAGTACTACGCTTTCTCTTCTGATAATTTTTTTAGTTTTAAACGATTCAAAATTAAAGACTGCAAAGTTTGATATTGATGAATAAAGTAAAACTTTTCTTTTTATAAACGATTTCTTACAAGCAAAATTATAACTCAATGATGAAATCTTAAGGTTCAATTATAATTAAGATAATAAAAAAATTTTTTGTTACAGAAAATCCTAAACAAACCAAGTTAATATTTCAAAAGCTTCCTATATATATGCGTAGACGTGTCATGTCTCACAATGTTAAAAGACTGCCACGTAGATTGCGAGAGGCACATTCAGCACAAATGGCAAAATCGGCAAATGGCCAAAATTTACCATCAACGAATAAACGACCATCCCGAAAATATCGTAGAAGACCACGCAATTTACTTTCCGAGTACAGTCGCAGACAACGTAATAAAATCTGGTTAGAAACTCATATCTGGCATGCAAAACGTTTTCACATGATCGACAAATGGGGATATAGAATTGCAAGTTATTCAAACGACAAGTGCTTTAGAGCCAATTACAGAGCTATAACAAAACACTGTCTTTTACAAGATATTTCTTATTATACCTGTATCGAAATAGTAGGAGAAGAAAGTTTGTTGAAAACAACTTTGAAAACACATTGTAATCCATCGACATTAACTTTTGCTGCAAAAATATACACCAATGGTCATAGGGAAGGTACTTTAATGTTCTTTAAAAAGAATGGTTATCCACATTTTCCTATTGGTAATGTGCATTTTTTTTGGAGGTCAAATGAGGCAGATATTAGAACTATTTGGATATGGGTACATCCTGCTTTTTATAATGATTTTCTTAATGAGATTATATCGAGTTTTGAGTTTAAACAGAATAATGCTGAACGAAATACGACCGATATTACGCATGATTTAAATTACTTGTACACAAATGATGCAGGTTGTAAAATGATTGTATTAAGAAATGCATTAAATAGATTTCGACTCCACGGGCCACTGGCTTTGAATGTATTAAGAGAAGCATTACAAATACCATCTTTAACTGAGCTAGATTTTGATCCAGAGATGAATCGCATTATTACAGAAGAACAAGATAGCTCGTTAAATAATGAAAAATTAGAGGCAAGTAAGATATCAATAGACAACAATATCTCTACGCAACCTATGGAGAGAATGGCAATTGACGAAAGTAAAGAAAATACCTCAATTTTCCAAGATTTGAATATACAAGATCTTGGGAAAAAATTGTGGCATACTAAATATTATAAAAAAAGAGAAAATATGGAAGCTTTTAAGATACAGGAGCAGTTGTGGCAATCAATGAAGTTTTTGGGATCACCAAATTTTCTACCAACAAATATGATTATTGGATTAATCGTTTTAGATCCACGCTTTTATTTACCTGAAAAAAGAACGAAATGTAAATCAGAGACGTTTTCTCAATTAAAGTCAGTTTATCAGCTACCAACTGATTCAAATTGTTCTCCTATTTGGGATGCACAAATACGCCATATTGTAAGCAATTCTTGTGTATCTACAAGCACAATTAACAAGCTTAGAAGTGAATGTCTTGTACCTGGTATGGCAAATGATCAATACTTTAACAAAGACATAATGGCAAAAATACCAATACTTCTTATTCAGAAGCCGGGAACTATTACTGGTATGTAATAAATATAATTAATAAATATAATTAATAAATATAATTGACGATTATTTATAATATATAAAATAGTTTTATGGAATTTTAAATGCATTATTTCTCAATTGCAATTATAAAAATATTGTTAACAGGTTTAGGATCCAGCATAGATATTATTATACCATCTGGATGGGCAATGCCATTTTGGCTTGCATTTATAATGCGATGTGCAAGAGTGGGTGCACTTCGAGAATCCAGATTGATAGCTTTTGAAAGTTTACAGCTAAACGTACCCGACATTGACGATCCCAACAGTCCCGCTTATACAAGGGAGGCATTGATTTCAAAGGAAGAATTAATTAATAAATATTTCTGTTATCCACCAAATAGAAGAGTTAACTATGTCAAATTTGGCATTCGTAGCCCTTTCTTCTGCGATTGGAAAAATTTAACCAAGGGCTGGTCGGACATCGAAAATTTTTATGTTCTAAGAAACCGCGAACTTTTATCACTTTTACAAACGGGAATTCATCCTGTTAAACCTGTTAAGAATGCAAAGTCCAAATCAACTGCCCAAAATGCACAGTTCAATTTTCAAGATTTTGATGAATATAAAAACTGCTTGGTACATGTCCAATTATCTATGGTAGGAAAAGGATCGCCGAAGAAGTTCGCGATCATATGCATACCGACGCACGAAGATATGGAAAAGCTTGAAAATAATAAAAAGTGGGTTGGTCCTGTCGAAAAATGTCACACTGATCCGAATGAAAAGTCCCGTAAAATGCTACGTAAAAATCACTTGGCGCTATTGAAACGATTAAGGCGGCAAAGAGTTCAACGAAAGAAGACATTTCAAGATAATGTGTTGAAGTTATTGAAGAAATCTATTGGCAGTTCAAACGCGATTGAATATACGTCGATTTCAGTACATCGCAAAATTATATCAAATCAATCGGTAAGAATGTCAAAATTGTATCTCCCAGAATGTACAGAAGTTCGTCATTCCTGCGATAGAGAAGTTATGGGATATGTAACCATAGGTGGTCTTTCATTCAGCCATGCAAAAGGTATTGGCATTGGGTATGTCACATTACCCTCGTTACTCGAAATTGTTAGTAAAAAGTCTAACATTGTTCTTGTCAGGAATACTCAAACACGACAATACAGATTAGCAAAATTAGATATATTAGGTCTTTAAATCTGCGTGATTATGTATGTATTTTATTAAATACATGATACATCTATATGTAAATATGTACAATATATATATATATTTTTTTTATTGTATTTTTTTACCAAATATTTAAAATATAAAAGAATATATTTTTTATATTTTTACCAGTGAAAATAATTTTTTAAGAGTCAGTAAAAGACGGATTGATGGGTGATAGTAATCATGAACGGTTAATTTGTCTGGTTTTATTTACAACTTTCGTTACAAACAGTATTAAAAACATGTGTTGTAATACATCTAATTTTGCTTTTCTCTCCAACACATTTTGCTTCTAAACATATAAAAAATGTACAAATATCGGACAAATATTTGCGTAAAAAGAAAGGTAGCTTTTATTATTAATATATAAATAATGATCCACAAGAAATGGCGGTAAATCGTATGGCAGATAATTCTGTTCGCATTAACGAGATCTGCAAGAAAATATATCGATTATTATATTGATTTTAAGATATATAGAATGAATCATACAAAAGTATTTGTACCTCCGTAATTGTTTGCTTAAAAAAAAAATTGATATTTTCTTTTTAGGAGAAATATTATAGAATATTTTTATTGGTATAGAAATATATACTGTATTTCTTAATTAAACTTGATTGAAATATTAACTATATTGAAAAATAACAATTTCCAGTATAGAACAAATACATAGAAGTTTAAAATTTTAATAGAATATATATCAAACTTACACGATACATTGTGAAATCGGAATCAATTTACCAGCCGTAGCCTGCTCCGTAATAGCGGGGATAATAACTATTATAATAGGGATAGCTGTGATAATGATTGTGATAATGATAATCGGGATAGTAACGTTCATGATAACGGGGATAGTATCCGTCGTATCCACCATAGCCGTATCCGCCGTATCCACCATAGCCGTATCCACCGTATCCGCCACCATAGCTAAAAAGAAAGGATTTCGCAATCTTACCGACAAGTATTTGACACTTTTGCTCTAATATCTTTAACTAGAACTTTCGATACAGTGAAATTTGATTAGCGTCATGAGAATTGAGCTAATAGTGACGACACGCAAACTTTGGTGAAATTTTTCAAAAAGTAAAAGTGTATAAAATTTTTACACATCAATTAACATTAATTTAATTGTCATAAACGGACGACCAAATTCAATACTTGAGAATTGGCGTCGTCGAACTGATTAACAAAGACAACTTTAATTGTATTTGCTATTTTGCCAATTGTCCTACTATAACTTTACTATAGCTTTAAGCTAATAAATCTAATGTGAATGCAACTTTGTTCTCGTTTTTCTTGGACATTTGTCCTTTTAAAGATACATAAAGTATATACTTTCAGAAATAAACAACTCACTATTTAGCCTTGTACAATCCAGCACCGAGAGCTCCGACACCCAAGGCTCCCGCACCGAGGGCACCGGCACCCACAACTCCGGCGCCCACAACTCCGGCGCCCACAACTCCGGCGCCCACAACTCCGGCGCCCACAACTCCGGCGCCCACAACTCCGGCGCCCACAACTCCGGCGCCCACAACTCCGGCGCCCACAACTCCGGCGCCCACAACTCCGGCGCCCACAACTCCGGCGCCCACAACTCCGGCGCCCACAACTCCGGCGCCCACAACTCCGGCGCCCACAACTCCGGCGCCGAGAGCGGCTTTACCAAGAAGAGCACCGCCTAGAAGTGCCTTCCCCAGGAGGATCGGCGCTCTCTTATTACGTGGTTGCGCTTCGGCCACTTCGCTCGTTGCTACTTGTGATATTGCTGGTGGAATAATGTCCGACGTAGGTACTATCACCGTCTGCTGCGGTGCGGATTCGTCGGCAGGTTCCGCTTGAGCGTAAATCACGGCCACTACAGCAGCCAGCACTATAATGTACTTCATCTAAAAGAGATATAAGGACAGCTGTCAGAAAGGGTAAAAAGATAAAAACTAAAAACATCGAACATTATTTGATAGCGAATTAATTTGTGATTCGAATATTAAAATTGAGAAGGTAATTTTTAATAAAATTTATCTCAAAATCTGTTTATATAAAGCTTTCTTATCTGAAAGATTCAACGGTGCTTATCACCACATAATTAAAAGCACAAATAAAAAAAGTCACCACTCACTCTTCTCCAAACTTTTTCAATATTGTATTCTTATATATTGTTTTCAGATAAAAGTGCGTAACGAAATTTAACATCTCTATTTTAATGTGGAAATAAAAGTAGATCTAAACAATTCGTTGAAACCTGCATTCTCTGTGAGAGATTTTATTATCACGAATCTTGGAAAACTAAAAAAGTTACGAGCCTCTCATTACACAGTATGATCATGTACCACGTACCTTGTTGAGATCACGTTTTCGGGTGGAGAATAACTCTTTCCAAAGCACTGGTTCCAAAGACTTTTATACGATGAGATCAGACTGCCCCTACTACCGGAAACCTTACGCCAAATTCCACGGGAAGACGTTACATCTTCGTATCTGTGAATGTATACCTAAATATCTCTCTTACCTGTCGAAAGCCAAGACCTGTTGCCGCCGGTCGCTTGTTTGTCCTCTCTTATTCCCTTGATTTCTGAATCGCCGAATTGGGCGAGAACTCATTTCCTTACGTGCTGACATTGAACCCATCCAGTGACTCGACAGGAATTTCAACTTTAAAATCTCGCTGAATGAAATTTTCTCACAATCCTCAGGCATTGTTTCAACATAGCCATTAACTTTCAAGATGCGTCGACATTACATAGTGCTTCCTAGATATTTACATTTCTGTACGCTATGTAGTCAAGTGCATAAGTGCAGTAGCGAATGCATGAATTAATTTTAAATAATACGAAACTTTATTTGCATGTAAATCTTTTTCTGAACTCTTATATGGAAATTATTATACTGAAATATTTTTTATGAATATTCAAATCTTTCAATAATAATTTGTTAAGTATAATAAACGAGAGGCAATTTGCGAGAAGAGAAACAGAAAGAAATTAAATTTATTTATTTACATAGATGAATTACGTTCATCGTGACATTGACATGAACAGGCGCATCTCCATATCTTTACATAATCCATAGTAAATACGAGAATTAGCATAAGGATCTCCAGGGAATTCCGGATTTCGTTTAGATCATTGATTTTTTTTCATCATCTACGACTGTAACGTATAAAACGGATTAATATTGCAAACAAAAGTGCTAATTACGCTAATAATGACATTAATCAGAACAATTCAGACACACCTAGATGACCTAGACGAGGCATTTCAATTACGTAATAATAAAATAATATTCTTTGTTAGAAAGGTGTGTCACATGTCTTTTTTTCTATGTAAATCGATCTATATGTATAACGTGACCTCGCCATTAATGAGCCAGCCATCGTAAAAGTGAGATGCTAATTTAATTATACCATCATGATTTCTGCTAAATGACTTAACTTTCCCGTTTCCTCTGTCGTTAGCTATTTTCATAGCAGCACACCTTGAAAGATATTTGATCGATGATCAATTATAAGCGCAGATAAATCTATTTCTATTTCAATTAAAAGAGGTGTTTTTGACAACAATTTTTTTTTTTTTTTGCTACAGACCGACAAAATGTATACAAATCATAAAAACAAATATGCGAACTTTTTAAAAAAGGCTTTCGAAATTACATGAAAATATTTCTTGGCCAACTGGAATATTATTTTTTATCGTAAATAATTTTTCAATTAAAATAAGTAAATCTCAATTTTTAGAATTTTGTTAGAATACTCTTTCTATTATTACCAACTGTAATTCATATATTACACATATTTTTGGTTTTTTAAAGAACTAAAAAAAGAAGACGAAAAATAAAATAAGAGAATCACGAGAAACATGCCCTATGTAGAAAAATTTAGCCTACATATTTTACACGAAATTACACGTACAACTTTATATAATTACAACGTGTCTTAAAAAATGCGTCGAGCGGTGAGTGAAACACTATAATTTTTAATCATTACATTTTGAAAAAGTCCTTTTCATGCAGAAGAATAGTAAACATTGCAAAATAAGATTATATTGATTTGTAAATCGTGTTAATTTATATATTAAAATACTGAAAATAAATTCAAGTAAAGAATAAAATAAAAGTAAATTTTCTATTCTTGAAATGCAAATAATATGAGTCAAAGTCCTGCTTTAGAAAAAATTTCAAAAGTAACTTATATGATAAAAAAAGGTACCCGCTTTAAATGAAGAACGAGGAGAGAGATTGATTAAGTTGGAAAAAGCACAATGGATCAAGGAACAGAGGCAACGCGAAGCTGAGGAACATGCTCAAAAATTGAGGAGAGAACATATGATGCGCGAAATCGAGCTCGGTGCTTTAAATACAAAGCGTTACCGTACATTATGGCGAGAGATGATGATGAGAATTAAAATGCCGCAGATCGCGGAGGATGTGGAAATTGCGTGGCGTAACTTCGATCGAGCTCTCGACATCAAGGACTACAGGTCACTATAAGTGTTAAATTTAGATAGATTGGCAAGCAATTTCAGAAGAGAATTCTATTAAAAATTAAGATTCACGAATTGGTAATTAAGAGAATATTTTATCACTTTTAACATTTATAATATATATATTGGTCTTTAATTTATTCGCATTTTCGGAAGAAAAGAATAATATTCAAAAAACACAAACTACTTTGATAAAAAATTCCAGTGTTTCAAAAATCTTAACATTTAATATGATTCACTGATGATGAACCTGGGAGTCGATATTTCCTTAGAGAATTTGCATATTCTTTAGCAATATCTTTATATTTTTCAGGATAAGTTTTTTGATGGACGAGTTTGCCGAGAGCGAAGAGCAATATCAAAGAAATATAAGATCACACACTGAAATCATAGATCGATTGTTGGGAACGTACATGGAGAGAATGCAACGCGAAGAAAGGAATTATCGAAAAACCTTAAACGAGACGCTTGAGCAGACGGACGTTGAGGTCGGCAAAATCTATCATCGGCAGAACGAAGACGAAATCTTGTTGCAATTAATCACTCACGGTGTTCAGCAACAACTAGAAGAATCATTAAACAATGCCAAGAGCATTGTATTAGGTGTTATTATTAATATTTGCATTACATCAAAATTTCTTTTGTTTCGATTAATTTAACATATATCGTAAATACAATTGATAATTTGAAGTTATTTATTTTATTTTATTCATATATTGATGATTCAGTTAATGAAGGCGAATTTTGACAAAAAGCATGAAATAAAAATATTTCCGAGCTGAAATGAAATGCGTCATATAAATTTATGCAAGATTTTAATCCAATTACACAGTTAGTTACACAAAAATATTTAATTTTTATTAATATATTAAAATAATTATATCTTTGAAAGGCAAGATCGATGCATTCGTGGAAGACAGTAAGGATATTCGCAGAATTTCTGCGGCTCAACTTGAAAATCAATTGCGAAGCTTCTGGGAAGATCTGCGACGGGTTCTATCAGATTATCAAAATAGTAAGCGTGAGAAAACAACTTGTATAGAATTTAAAATTATTAGAATAAATAAATTAAGAAAACATTTATGCCTAATATAATTTTAATTAAATATAAATAACTATAATCTTCGAAATGACAGTTGCTCTATGGATCTGTAATCACACATATTTGTCAAATGCAAATTAATTTTATGTTAAGGTCATATTTCTGTTTCTTCAGTGCAAGCTAATCGAATATATTAATCAATATGACATCATTATAGAAACGAAGGATCGTCAAAAATATTACGAGGCACTCAAAGAGAAAGACGAAAAGGATCAGCAAGTGATCGCACAACAATTGTTACGAACAACGAATCTTTTCGAAGAGATACGAAAGTTTCGAGGCAAAATAGCAACGTACGATGCTTCGGCTAAAACAGAAACTTCTGAAATTTTGGATGAACATAATTTCTTCCAGAAAGCTTACTGGACTGTGAAAACCCGTTTTATTTCAGGTGCGCATCATCATTTATTTTTTTATATACACATATACAGTGAGTGATTATTTGGACGGAGTCGTCGCCGGAAATTTATCAATCATGCGTGTTCATGCACACTTTCTATTAAACAAAAATATTATCGTAATTATTGATAAAAAGAAAAAAATAAACCATAAGAATTACATATTGAAAAATGTGAAACAATTTCAGAACAGACGAAAGACAAAGACCAATTGAAGATATTGTCGATTGAATACAACAAGACGATAAAACATTTAAAAGATCTTGCGACGAAAGGTAAACGATTGCTCGCGCTCATGCAAATCTGTAGCAAGTATGAAACGCAACGTGAAAAAATAATTCCGTTTCCTGGTCATACGAAGCTGGAGAACTCATCACCTCCTTTATCAGATCAGACTATACCAGATTGGGATATATCCCGCCAGGTTAATTTCACCATAAAAAATTTTTTGAGATAGTATAGAATTTTTAAGAAATATTTGGAATGTAGATTGAAGATTTTCAAGATCTAACAAATTTCTGGCGACGACTTGGCTCCGCGCAAATAATCACTATGCAATTGCGATCGGAAAAGGACAGATTAAAGGACGAGGCAAATCGTCTACGTGAATATATCAGATCTTATATAATGCAAGAAGTAAGAGAGAAGAATGAAAAAAGTACAAAATAATTTAATAACTTTCAATTGTGACAAAAAAATTATATCTGCTACTTATTCTTTTATCGTAGGTGCAAATTCAATGATCTGCAACTTACATCACTTATCTACAACCTTATTTATCTCATTTCTTCAAGATATTGATCTGTAATTATTAGAACTTATGTGAAACGTAATCAGTATTCAGTGTAATAAAATAAAATAAACGATTATATATATTTTATGATTTATGTACATCTATGACAGGTGAAAGAACAACTCAACGATGTTTCTACCACTTCAACGAGTTTGATTGGCCGTTTGGGCTTGCTAATGGCAGTCTTATATTTATTATGCACTTTAAACTGCAACTGCAAACACTTAGATATACATATAAATATAACTTAACGTGACGATTTATGCCTGTGTGCTATTTGAGATAGCATCTTATTGCCAGCGAGGAACGTAACAACGCCAAAACCCAGTAAATATCGCAGCGTGACAAACATATTGAGCTTCAACCAGAAAATGCCGAACAACACAAAGATTCCTGAAAATAAAATAATCATGGTTATATTCGCATCTGTGTATCCCTACCATAACTTATTAATATAGATTTTTGTAGTGAATTTCGGGCTACAAATATGATGAGGAATATAATCACATTTGCGAAAACATCACGATTTTCTATGCGCCCGATGAAAACAGATAAACTATATGCCATCATCTGTCAAGCAATATCAGGCTTATTACATATTACTATATTACAATATTCTTAATTATTGTTTTTGGCAAAATTGTTTGAATTCTTTCAATTTTTATTTATCGTGCTAGTTTTATCATATATTAATGTGTATGCTATCAGATAATTAACATTTACCTCCTAATCCAAGATGGAATGTAATCGCGCTGAGAGACAAGGGGAAGTTTGAGATATTGATTCCCAATCGAGCCCATAAAATCAATAATAGTAGAACTGGTGCCAAGCACAAGCCTGTGAACAAGTTCGATACAAACGCTGGTGGTCTGCGTTCGGGCTCGCGAAACATGTGCTGAAATTAAAAATAAATTTTTGGAGAAATGCTTCAACGACAATCTTTCAACCAGGAATCAGTGTTCGTCAAAGCACAAAAAATATTGCACATATATAATTTTTGTGAATATATTATACTGACTTCGACGTAATAATTCTCTGCCAATGTTTTGGAAGTGACAAAATTATCGAAGAATCTCTGTCACTAACGAGCATTGGCATATATAAAAATGTACATACATAAATGCGTAAGAAAATTACCTTTATTTCTGGTTTAGTAGTATACATATTTGGCTTTTGTTTGTAAGAGGCACTCTTATCGGCACCCTCCGTCGAGGTCAACTCGGGAAATTTCAGAGTCACCGTACCAATGTTGAATCGGAATGGATTATTGATCACGGCATCGCCGACAATTAATTCCATATTATAGTTTCCGCTCTGGTGACCAAAATTTGCAGCTGCTGTTCCAACCGGCTACAATATTATTTACGAAATTATATAAACGTCGAAAGAGGCAGATATAATGTATACAAAGGTAAAATCTTTGTTTAAAGAAATACAAGCGCTCGAAAATTTACCATGTCGAATTTATAAACATGAGCAGCGTCGGGCTCGGCAACGAAAAAGATTTCGTGACCTCGCTTATCACTAATGGATGCAGAAACGGATGTAAGGCGTACGAAGGCTTGATGCACGCGCATCGGTTTCTTATTCGCTGAGTCGCGCAACAAAAAACGCATGACTAGCTTCTGCTGCGAATCGGCTTCTATTTTATGTTCAAGTTTGCCGGAGGGAGACTCTGTATTTACTCTGAAATTGATGAAATCATCATTAAAAATTTAAGGCAATAAATATAGAATCTTGAACGTATAAAATCTAGTATATAATATAATAAATACCTTGTAAGTTTTGGCTGAGTGGTTTGATCAGCATCGCCTGTTCCGATTTCCAAGTAGTCTAATAACGCTTCAGACAAGACCTTTACCGTAATCGTGTTCGTGACCGAAGCCGCGGTTATCGATATCTTATAAAAACCGCGATCGGGTTTTACATTCATAAGATTCATCATGAACAGAGTCCTGTAAATAGACACAAAACGTTAGATTCTAATATAGAATGAGAAAAATTAGAAAATTGTTTGTTGAATTTCTTAACCTTAATTATATTTAAAAAAAAAGGTTAAAGGGATTATTCAACAACTATCGCTATGCCCCAAGGTATAGCTGATGTCAGCATGAAAAGGCTGATCCAGTAAAGTATTGGGGATTAAGTATATTTATAATGGAAGATGCTTACTTGTCTGTTGTAGACGGTTGCAAATTCTCATTGCTAAGAATAACAACATCATCTCCCACTCTCGTGGCGGAATTTGCAACAACCTTAGGCACAGTTAACAGTGCCTGACCAAGAATATCACAAACTTTAACCGTGACCAATGGTTGCTCATTAGAGATGACAATTCCTCCATCGGCCAAAGTTATGCAAACAGGCTTCTCGGGACTGTCAACTACCAAAGTGGTTAAAGCCGACAATAAGGTTGCAACGCCTTTCGTAGTTTGCACAGAACGTCGTGAGAGAAGATAGTTGCCGAACTTAACTGTTTGCTGAAAGTTTAGTGGCGGCTTTTTTTTCAATGAAGTAGACAATTTAAAAATACCATTGACAAGGAAACCTATAAGAATCGATTTTATAATCAAAATAAAAAATCAATTAACTCTCAAAATTATATATAGAAGAAGATTAAGTGTCGTACTCGTAATAGAAAGACCGCCCTCAAATTGCAAATATTGGCCATCCACTTCGTCAGCCTGTACCACAGCATCCTCAATACGGTCAAAAGCAAAAGCAGCTGGCGCACCAATGTCCGCAGCAATATGGAATGTGTATCCCAAGCTAATAATATAAAGTTTATTATTAAATTACCACTCGTAGTATTCAAAATAGAAATAAGAATTTACAATTTTCAAGATATTTTGTTCAGTGCTAATTGCTGTCTTCATTCACATTCAGTAGAACGAAAGTTTTATTAACATCATTACAATTATAGTATAATTTTTTAATTATTAATGCTAATATATCTCTTAAAAAAGGTAACATACAATAACTTACTTCCACAGGCTGTCATCCTTCCGTAAAGCAGCTTGTATTAATTTCACTAACTTATCAATTCTGGCAGCAGGTATCTTTTGTGATAAAGCTGTTAAGCCACTCACTGCATAATACAGATCAGACAGTGTAGAAGCATCCTTTTGTATAACATTAGTCAATACCTGTACAAATAAAAGTCTGCCATATAATATCCTGTGATGCAAATATTATTTATAACTATTTATAATAATTTCCAAGATTTTTTAATTCAGTGATAATTGTTATCTTCATTCTTTGTACAGTAGAACGAAAGTATTATAAAGACATCATTATGTGTTATATAAATATCATAGACATTGTCTTTTGATCATTAACATTGATTACCTTTGTTACAACATTTGTGGGAAACTCTTGACAGTCTCCGATAGCTTTCCATGTAGAGACAAGGTAAAATGCTGTTTCAGGTGTGATGTTTTCTCCATTGGATTTTATCAAATACTTGCAGATAGTCTAAACAAAAACAAATACTACCAATATAATAATTTGAGACATTATACATTATAGTAAGAAGAAAATATTACAATCAGAAAGACTAATCAAATAATCATGGAATCTCAATATAGCTTTTTTTCATCACATAGTAATTTATATATATCGAATATTCTTTAAACATATGAAATGTTACATGTGAAACTTGTGAAAAAGGAAGATTACATCTATTTTCGGTATAGCTTCTCCAAGGAGCTTGTATCCATTGGTAGCATAATATACCGCAGGTATATCTTGTAGCTGAAATCCCGGTTCAAGTATGCTCTTCAAACGGACTCTATCAGCTACCGACAAATACGAATTTGTCGACTGCGAGACTTCTGAGAATGTAGAGTGCGCACATAGCACCACCAATACTAGCGATAGCACAGCAGCTAAAAAAGAAATAACACCAAAATATATCGCACTTATTTTTTTTTTTTAACTGAATTTATGATAAGCATAACATACATAAATGCTTTACATAAATGCACAAATTAATATATTGTGTGTGTGTATATCATAAAATTATTACAAAAAAACAATACACATTACATTTACCACCACTCTTTACATTATATTATATCGAGTTAAATTTTACTATGTGCATATCTTTGCAATAATATAATAATAAATTAAATAGTAATAATAATAAATTAAATGATAATAAATAATTTCTTGTATATATTACATTTTGTAAAGCATGCTTTCTGAAACCGTACTCGCGCGGTTACATCCGGCGAGGTTGCAATGAATTAATTACAACGCTGAATAAGCATAATCGCAAATCTCTCGGCACAATCGTTCCGAATGAGGTTCGATGAATATATAGTATTAAAATTGTACATCGTTAAAAACCTCGAACAGATAACGATTAATGTACCGCAAAAATTGCTTTGGCGGACACGCGGCGTGGTCGGCTCTCCGAGGCGTCGTTCAATTGCATCCGAGATGCAAAGATTCGTATTGTTCTCAACAGAGCATTTTCACCATTATCGACTGACAAACAACGCTAAGAACGCAAACGTTAATGTGATATGTACTTACATAAAATCATGTCGAATCGCAAGTCGCCTGGCAGTCCGGCCGCCACGTCGGACTCTGGAACAAGATGGCTCTATCTCCATTGCGCGTGTCGGGAAAAATGGACGATAGAGCTAACATACCGGAAATGACTACCTCCACGAGGGCAAAGTTGACTATGCAAATCGATCAATCGCTTGTGCGATTGATCGATCAGTCGAAAGAGTTTCACGGCCACATTCAGCTTATTGCTTTGTGTGTGATGTCTAACTTTGCGCATGCGCATGCCACACACACGCGCGAAATTTGAGAATGTCTCTAATTAATATCATCTTTAGTTGTTTAAAAGAATGCAATACATTTATATTTTAAAAAAAGAAAAGAGCAATAAATAGTGAAAACTTTACTTTAATTCGAATTTTTTTTACGTGATTAAGTTTCATTGAAATATTTGAATTTTGATCTTGAATGTGAGATACATTGCAAAATACAAATCTGAGAACTTCGAAATTGTTCGAAATGTTGCGATAAAATAATTGTGAGGAGAATATAATTATCTGAATTATTTGAAAAAATAAATCAAACATTTGCGAAAAAATAGTGTGGAATATGATATGCTCTATTTCGAAACATATCTCGATTGATAATTGATATACCATCAGTCTTTCCAAACACTTCTATTTAGTAATTTTGAACTAATTATATCATGAAATCACTTCGAGATACGATCAGAAAATACTATGAAAAAATGATATTATTTCTTATCCTTTTATTGCAGATATTTGCCAGTGAATGTTAAATGCTGCTATTATGTGCAATCTTGAAATTATAAAATCGTTATAAATTTTCGACGACATATTTCTCGGGAAAAATACGCTTTCGGTAATAAATATATCAACGAACATTGCACAAAATACGTTGCTATATAATGCATTATATTGCTCAAGCGCGAAGAGAGATGATAATTAAACAAATCAACAATCGTATTATAATCTGCATTAGAATTAAAATCGACATTAATGAAGTGAGTACATACACAATATTAATGAGGTGCTACCAGCCGAATATTCGCGGTATAAAAGTGTGGCGAGCAATATTAAAATAAAATAGCTAAATCTTATAAAATAATCCTTAAACATATAGATATAGTGTATAGCGTAATCGTACGAACATACAATAATTTGGGTAAATGTAATATACGCTGTATTATATATATAGTGGCGCCTGTGTTAGTCGCGTTTAAAGTTAAATCGCTAAATTAGCTCAGTATTATCATAGCCTGATGATCTACAAATAAAGATATAAACCGCTATTCTC